TTCCGTTTCTGTCCATATCAGTGAATCATCTAAAAACAACTTTGAAATACTCTTTTGAAAATGTAATCCCAATAAATTCATCCAGTACAACTCCTGCCGTTACGGTTTGGTCAACAGTTCAAAACCGCACACCGGATCCTGCTCCTGCGCCGTTCGATCTCATCTCGACGGATACCAGCAGCTTTGGCGGTGGGGACCCCACGGCTCAGTAGCAGCACACCGCGTCCGACTGATCCCGAGCCGTCCGATCCCATCTCGACGGCTACCAAAGAAGGTGACGGAGGTGGGCCCCACGGGTCAGTGTCACAGCACCCGGTTTCTCTGACACCCGCACGGAAGTGGGGCCCAGCCAAAGCCCCCACAATAAATTTCGCACAGCGCACAGGCCTCTCCCATCACCCAGCAAATTTTTTTCTCGCCCACCATTTCGAACGAAAAAAAATCAATCACCAACCGGGAGGCCGAAGCAGCCAACCCAATGGCGCAGCACACCGCCGCGGCGGCGGGCGGGGACGAGGAGGTGGCGGAGGCTGAGGCGGCGGCGGCGGCGGCGGCGGGGAGCACGCTCCGGCACCGCCACGCGGGCAAGGGCGCGGAAGAGCACGAGGCGGCGGGCGGAGGCGGCGGCGGGCGCAATGGCGGCGCCGACGACCCGGACGCGACGTCGGTGGAGCGGGTGTTCGCGGACAAGGCGGTGCCGTCGTGGAGGGAGCAGCTGACGCTGCGGGCGTTCGTGGTGAGCGCGCTGCTCGCCGTCATGTTCAGCGTGATCGTCATGAAGCTGAACCTCACCACGGGGATCATCCCGTCGCTCAACGTCTCCGCGGGCTTGCTTGGCTTCTTCTTCGTCCGCCTCTGGACCTCCGCCGTCGAGCGGATTGGCCTCCTCAAGCAGCCGTTCACGCGCCAGGAGAACACCGTCATCCAGACCTGCGTCGTCTCCGCCTACGGCATCGCCTTCAGCGGTAAACGTCTTCGACGCTTTCGGCTTTACTCTGACTTCTACTGCACCACCTTTGTTGGATTGGGACTCCTCGTTGCAGCGAGTGTACTGTGTGTGCTTATGTCTACCTCCGAATTGAATGGAGCGAGTATTAGAGGAATCCATTTGGTTAGTGCGTCAGCGTGTTACAACGTTACTCTTACTGGTGGTTGCGATTTTGGGTTGTGGTTATGTGGGAGTATGATGCAGCAGATCTGATCTGGATGTGGGAGAGTCGCTGGGGAAGTGTAGCATTTCGCGGTAGTGGGTAGCTGGGAGACATCACGGAATCGGTTGTTCTTGTGCCCCTGAAGAAAAAAACAACAACTACTACAACATCGGTCTCAAAAGCGGTTTCTGATAAGAGAACTGTACTGGAAAACTTGAAGAATTGTCATTCTTGGATTCGGACTTGTCAACTTGATGCTGCTTTGTCGCAGTTGAGTGGACTCTGCTGTTTCTACCTTTTCTGATTTCACGAAACAGCTGCTTGACTTCAGTGCACCTGATTTGAATTGTGTAGCAACGGGACGAATCTTTAGAAGATTTTGGTTTTGGAAGTTGGTTTATTAGGTGAGCTAAGTTGTGGATATAGATAGTCAACACTATATTTTTCCCTGTGCTGGTAAGAAAATCGCTGCATTGCTCTCATTTGATGGGAAAAGCCATTTGCGTTTAGGATGCGACGTTTGCAGGAGTAAGGACAAGCTGAAGTGGACCAGCTTGCTTGGTTTGACTCCTCACCTTAAAATAAATGCATGGCGCATGCTTCTTCTTTTTTTCTTTGCTTAGGCAGACATGACACATGCATGTGAAAGCATTTGGATCGGCATAAACAATTATAATGGTCTGCAGGATTATTTGAGAACCATGCTACGTGGTACACTGATGATCATTCGAATAATTTCATGTGGCAAGGCATGATGTTTACTTGCAGATGCCTAGTATATGAGGAATTTCGTAAGGATGTCCCATGTGCATCAGATGGATATAAGTTATTCTTAACACCAGAATTAAGTTTGTTTACTGTTTTCTATTCCAAAACAGCAAAGAAAATCAAGTAAGTGTTTCCAAGAAAGTGGTGAACCAATGATTAACTAGTTATCTACTATGTTTTTAAGTGGTAATAATATGTCAATGCACCATGCATGAGATAGTTGCTTGATTCCTTGCCTCATTTGCCCAAAGCATCTCATATTTTCTTTTGATGTCTGTTTACCTTTATGAAACTGTATCCCTTGCTAGAATGTCATAATGTATGAACAAAAATTTGTGCCAATTGACATATTTTTGTACCTGTTTATTCCAAATTCCAATGATCAGGTGGGTTTGGCAGTTATTTATTTGGAATGAGTGAAACAATAGCCAAGCAAGCAACAGAGGCTAAAGATGCTCAAAATATCAAGGATCCTCACCTTGGATGGATGATTGGTTTTCTTTTCCTTGTCAGTTTTATTGGGCTATTTGCACTTGTGCCCCTAAGAAAAGTATGCCTTAAACCTGTTACCTTCTAGTTTTACTGAATTGCTGTATATAGGGAAAACTTATCCATCCTAACTTAATTGTTGTTTCAGATTATGATTGTTGATTACAAGCTCACCTATCCAAGTGGCACAGCAACTGCTTATCTCATCAATGGTTTTCACACACCAGAGGGTGCCAAACTAGCAAAGTATATCTATAAAATGCTACTTTCATGAGTGCCAATTATTAGCCCAGTATATCCGTAAATGTTATGCAATTCAACTGACAAATAACCATCTTTTTCAGGAAACAAGTAAAGACATTGGGCAAGTACTTTCTGTTTAGCTTCTTCTGGGGTTTTTTCCAGTGGTTCTACACTGCTGGTGATGACTGTGGATTCAAGAACTTCCCAACATTGGGCCTTGAAGCTTACAACAACAGGTCAGAACTCAGAAGTATAGCATAACATTGGTTTTAACAACAGTGTTGACTATGATGTCCGTTGCCTCAGCTTAACCTATAGCTAATATCTGGTGAAACACTACCTCTGTCGTCTTTGGCTGTGGTAAAAACTGTAGTTACTAATGTCTAGTGTCTGACCATCTGGATAATAGTTAATTCTTAGTTCCAAGCCATTGGTCTCCCATATTTGACTTGACCTGTTACCTTTCAGGTTTTTCTTTGATTTCTCTCCTACATATGTTGGAGTTGGCATGATCTGCCCATATATCGTGAATGTGTCGGTTCTTCTTGGCGGTATCCTCTCATGGGGTGTGATGTGGCCTCTCATTGCCAAGAAGAAAGGAAGTTGGTACCCTGCTGATATCTCAGACAACAGTCTCCATGGGCTGCAGGCTTACAGGGTTAGCATCCACCTTTCCGCTGATTCCCCTTTATGAAGCTAAATCATACAATACAGAATTCAAAAGGCTAGAGAGCGCTTTGAGTAATGTTTTAACTGTAAGTTCATTACCTTTGCAGGTTTTCATATCCATTGCTTTGATCCTTGGGGATGGTTTATACAACTTCCTCAAGGTGCTTATCCGCACAATTGCAGGCTTTATATCAATGGTTCAGAACAATTCAAAAGGCATGCTTCCTGTTTCAGACAATGGCATGTCCATGTCCACTGCTGAAGAGGTATCCTTCGATGATGAGCGTCGCACTGAAATCTTCCTGAAAGATCAAATTCCTAAGTCAGTTGCATATGGAGGCTACGTCGTAGTTGCTGCTCTATCGATTGGCACCCTTCCTGAGATCTTCCCGCAGCTCAAGTGGTACTACATTTTGGTTGCCTACATCGTTGCACCTGTGCTGGCCTTCTGCAATGCCTACGGAAGTGGTCTCACTGATTGGTCTCTTGCCTCCACCTATGGCAAGCTTGCTATCTTCGTGTTCGGAGCGTGGGCGGGCCTTTCTCACGGTGGTGTGCTCGTAGGACTTGCCGCTTGCGGTGTCATGATGAGCATCGTGTCGACTGCCTCTGACCTGATGCAAGACTTCAAGACTGGATACTTGACTCTGGCATCACCGAGGTCCATGTTTATCAGCCAGGTGATCGGCACCGGGATGGGCTGTGTCATAGCTCCCTGTGTCTTCTGGCTCTTCTACAAGGCCTTCAGCAATATTGGCACAAGCGGCACCGAGTACCCGGCGCCATATGCCATCGTGTACCGCAACATGGCCATCCTGGGTGTCGATGGCTTCAACTCGCTTCCGGAGAACTGCCTCACTCTCTGCTACATCTTCTTCGCCGCGGCGATCGCCATCAACCTGATCAGAGACCTGGCGCCGCACAAGGTCTCCAGGTTCATCCCGCTCCCCATGGCAATGGCGATCCCTTTCTACATTGGATCGTACTTCGCGATCGATATGTTCCTGGGCAGCGTGATCCTCTTTGTGTGGGAGAAGCTGAACAAGGCCAAGGCGGATGCGTTTGGACCTGCGGTGGCGTCAGGGTTGATCTGCGGTGATGGGATCTGGACTCTTCCCCAGTCCATTCTTGCCCTTGCCAAGGTGAAGCCCCCCATTTGCATGAAATTTTTGTCGAGGGCAGCCAATGCCAAAGTGGATAGCTTCCTTGCCGGTTAGTCGTGCCATCGTGATCAATTGATCTTTGAAGAGAACATTTGCAAGGAGTGCGCGCCATCCTGTAATTATCTCCTCCAAATGTATTTCCAGATCACTTGTTTTGTAGAAAAGCCAAATCTGGGTTTCCCGTAGGAAAGAAGCATCCCACAATCCAAATGTAAAAACGAGGAAAAATACAGCTGCAACCAACAACCGTTTTATCATTTGCTCGACACGGATTCCTGTAGAGATTATCCTTTTTAACGAAAATGGCATGTTGAACTGAGAATCCGTGAGGTCTAGCAGGTCAGGTTTCAAAACTGAGCTGACTTGGAAACTGCCTTTTGAGCTTATGAGTGCATCTGACAGGTTTGCCAATCAAAACTACAAGCGAGCTCATTTTACTTGATCTTCTCTTGAGCTAATTTACCATCCTATCCTATTGTTGGTTTATTACCAGCATAAGTGCAACGAGCATTGAAAATTTTGAAAATACAAGGCATGGCCAATTGTAGATCAAGACCGACAAACAGCGGGATGAGTAACTTTGCCTGTACTGTCATAAGAAAATAAGATGCTTCAATTGCAAACACGTTCATAGTTGTTTGAAACACAAAAGAAGCTCCTAAAGATCTAACATGCTATCAAGCTACTCGCCTGACTGCCAAGGGAGTAGTTATTTAGATAAACAACTTAATTGAACAGTTAAGCTGATTGCCTGGTGATCTCCTGTAGAAAAATCACGCGAGGCACTCTGCAGTAACTACTCTCGCGGAGTGCACACATTTCTTGGCTCCATGCGACCTTGAAGCTGTGAAGCATACGTATAATATTGAATACGATCAACCATTCATTGTGGACTTGTAATGGTGGTCATCGATAGTGGCATACAAATGTCCCAGATCAACTTGGTCTATAATGATTTTCCTGTGAAAGAAAGTAGGATTATGTAAATAAGCAAAATATATTTCAGACAGTGTGATGGGGAGGGATATACCCGACTGTTTCCTCTGGTAGATTAAGACGACGGCTCACATAATCTACGCCTACTCCATGGTCATCATTCCTGTATAGCACAAATTCAGTATTATCTAAAGCAGAGAAACTACAGACCATGTTAAAACATTGACAGTACCAAACTTGTATTTGGTATTAGCATGGCGTTATTTTTAGAAGGAAAGAGGTGGCCCTCTCCCAGATTACGTAAAAGTTACTGCATAGATATTGTAGATTATGTGTGCCGTAAAATTATGAAGAAAATTTAAGGTATTGCAGACCTTAAAATTAAGCCCTTTGATGTGTGTGACATGGAGGGTGGAGAACCATCGGTACAAAACTTTGAAACATGTAAAAGTTACTGGCAAACATCTATATGAAAGACTGACCACTGAATCATGGGAACTTCTATATTGCAGAGAACGTAATTTTAAGGTCTGGTGGTATGAAGGAACCAAATGTCAATTCATTATTCATGTCTACAACTTATTTATCTGACCTTTTTTTTATCATAAGAAGTAATGAAAGCGTACTGCATATCTAATTAACAATTCCACACTAGACAGAAACGGCTGAGTGTTAAGGACAAAAACATGGAATATTGTTAGCTATTCTATAGCAAAGAAAAAAAGTCAGCAGAGTTTATGCGTGTGAATTATAATAGATCAAAGAGAGAAAACTGGCTAGTCAAGTGACATCTATGGGCAGAATTATCAACAATTAACTTACATAACTGCTGGGTCATGAAAAACATTCAAGACCAAGTCGATCATATTTGTTCCAGTACCAGTATTTTGTGGTGCAGAAAATGTTGAGGCCTGAGTAGATATGAATGAAAAATTTCAGACAGAAAAGTTGGCATGTCTTTCTTGGTAAAATAAGAAGAAATGTCCAAAACTACCTGATTAGTAAGTGGACTTTGGTTATACGCCATGCTATCCCTAGGCATAGTTTGGTTAGGAGTTCCTGTTGCTGTATTAGCATTTACTTGGGACTGTCAAGTATTAAAATAACTCAGAAACATGACATCACCGTAAAGCTCAATAGATATTGTATGGCACAAGTTAAACACCAACAAATGAAACCTTTAGGATCTCACTACCTTCGGCCTGGTAAGCTCCAAGTGCACATGAACGCAGTGAAGAAAGTGATGTGTTACATCATTGAAGTTGGTTATACGCCTGACAAGAAACCATGAACAAAAGCATAAATTAAGAAAAAATGCAGAAAAGTATTTATCTGGTCTGGATAAGCCTGTCTCTAAAGCAATATAGTATTGAGCTATCCTGATTCATGAGTTTATCTTTGCTATTGCTTTTACACACGTCATATGACAGACTTCCAATCTAATATAGTGGTGTGCTTGTAGGAACAACAAAGAATGTTACACATTAATTAACACCAATTAAATAGCCGTTAGTGATTAGTTGTAGTTCTGTTCAGCACTCACAAACTTCTGCATGAATACTACCCCGTTTCTAAATACAGGGCACTTTTGACCACTGTTTTGTACCTATAATACTTGGAACTTAACAAATCCCAATGCAATTTGTACTAAATTCCTCTATTAGATATATTCACCTCAACCCATCTCCATACTCCATTCCCGTGCCTTAATTGTTAATAAGGTGCATTTTTGCCACTTTTTGCACAAAATATGATTGCTTTAGCAAGCATGTTTTAATCAAAAGCGTCAAGTACTTAGAAACAGAAGGAGTATTCTACTTACAAATCATTGTAGCTAAGGGATCACATCAGCATTAGCTGTTTTATTACGGTACTCCCTCCATCCCAAAATATAAGCATTTCCGGTTTTGTCCTAAGTCAAACTATCCTAAGTGTATATAAAAGTATTTACAGTATCAAATGAGCATCATTAGATTCATCATGAAATATATTTTCATAGTTTACTTGTTTGACGTGGTAAATATTAATACTCTTCTGATCTTCTTGTTCATCTCTAGTTTGACTTAGGACAAACTAGAGATGCTTATATTTTGGGACGGACGGAGTACCACAGGGTGACATTATTCAATATAATGGGCCAAACAAATTGCAGACAATTCGCTATGCTCCAAAGCAGGCATCAGTTTTTGGAAATCCACGTTGCAGGTTATTATCTATGGAAGACCAAAGTATTCACCTCACAGAGTAAGCAACCACCTGACGCTTCCCTTGAAAACCTTTTAGACCACCATTGACAATAACATAGTCACCATTCCTTGCAAATAGAACAAAGCAAACCTATCAATTTTGGGGCGTAGCAATTTAAATTTCAAGACAAGTCAAATACTATGTAACCCTTACTGAATGTCAGCCATCTCCTTAGTATCAGTGCTATCGTTTTCCCTGAGAAAAAAATAGAAGTCAGTACAAAGCCAAGAAATTATCCAAAGTTTGTTAAGCACAATAAAGCGGTACATGGCATCCCACCAGCGATTCACAGGTACCCTGCCTGTACCATCATCAAGAGTGAATGATACATCCGTAACCCGATCAAGCTTATTTAACATGCGTCCTACAAGCCTAACCTGCAATCCAGGGTGATAAAAATTCAATACACAACATACGATATTTGCCAACATGTACAGAAAGCAAACTGACCGAAGCAAAACCAATTCAAACCAAGAGAATTTAGATTCTAAAAAAGGCAAAATACAATTACATAATTACGCTAAACAAAATCATAAAGAAGATAGCATCGTATTTTGAAAGGACCATATACATATTTAATATTTTCAAGGAGCTAGTTTCAGCTCCAAGGAGTTTTTTTTTTTTTTGCCCAACTATATTTTCTCTACCACTCCGATAGGCAACCTTTGGCCCAACCAGCGCAAGTACAATGCATACAAGAACTGTTTGTAATTTCCCAAAAAAAAATGGAGTCTAATCACCACCCAATCAATGTTCATTTCCGAACACCAATCACCACACAGAAGTAGGCAAGATCGATACCGTGGACACCTCCATGCCATTGACAGCAAAATTCGACTTGTCGTCGTTGGTCTGGGACGCGTCCATGATCTGCTTCACGGTGAGCGGGAGCAGCGCCTGGGCGTTCCGACTCTGACCACACCCGCGAGCCCCACAAGGCGTCAGTCCGAGGGGAGCGCAAGAGATATCCAAAAAAAACAAACAAACGAGAAATTTGGGTAGGATTAGGAGGGGAAGGACCTTGGGGAAGCCGCCGCCGCCGCCGCTGGTCCCCTCCGCGGCGTTGGTCGCCTGCGAGGGCATGAATCCGCCGCCGCCGAAGAGGGAGCTGGCGTTCCCTCCCCCGCCATCGTAGTTCCCGCCGCCGCCGCCGCCGACGCCGACGCCGTACATCGGGGATTCGGGAGGGCCCCGCGCCTAAACCCTAGCTGCCCGCCAAAGCAACCGGAACAGACGACAGACGAACGGATGAGCGCGGGAGAGGAGTGCGGCTGCGGCGGTTCAGTTTTTCGGCGGAAAAAACCCTCGCCAACTTCGCGTTGGTATTTGTTCCCCGTGTTGCGTGGCCAAAGGCAGGGGGGGTGCAGTGCACCGTGCGCGCGACGCGAGCCAGGTTAAACGTTGACGTGGGTGAGCGGCCGTGCAGTGGTGCGTGCGTCGTGTGGTTTCCACTGGGGTTTGACGGATCGGGCGGGCCGTGCGCTGAGCGGGGCGCTGCGGCTGCAGCCTGCACGGCTGCGCGTACCGGTGGATCGGATTGTAGCGCGATAGCCGGTAGCCGGGCTAAGGCGGCTAGTGGTGGCGACTAGCGAACGCGAGCGGCTCGTGCACGGCACGAGTGGGTTGGGAGTTTGGGACTTGGGACTTGGGGGAGTTGGGTGGATGAACCGGCCCCGGGTGGGATCGGTCGCAGCGCGAGTCCGCGACTGGGGAAGGTGCCGCACGGGCCGATTTGCAGGTTGGGCTACGCGATAGCAGCCGAAGTCTTCTCGCTTGGTTTGGGGCACTTGGGAATCGTTGGCATCCGCGTAGCAGCCGAAGTACTCTTTTCGATATGTATGTGTAGCTAATTGCTCCACTAGACATTTGAAAGCAAGCAATCAGTGGGCCGTTACACCTGATCACGTTCTTACTATGGCACCCCTCGTTTCGGCTCAAGAAGCAGCATGTGGAAAATAAGAGGATTCAGATTCGGTGACATTGCTATAGCATGGCACGGTGTGATATTGGATCGATCTGGGGCGTTGAAAACTAATCCAACGGTCCGCTGCACTGGCCTACCTGCAGGACTCCGTTTTCACCCCACGCGCCTACCCTTCCTGCCAGACGACGTCTCCTTCAATCTCGCCCCAATCTCGCGTGCTCGCATCGCCGTTTCCCCACGCCAGGCCGAAGAGGCGCCAGGCCACCGCGCCGCAGCGAGTGGGGAGGGGACCGGGCGGCTGCCTCGTCGCTTCGCCTCCCCTTGCCCGCGTCAGGCCACCGCCGCGAGCTAGCTGGGAGCCGCCGCCGCGCCAGGCCGGAGAGGCGCCCACCACCGCGCCGCTGCGACTGGGGAGGGGACCGGGCGGCCGCTTCGCCTCCCCTCGCCCGCGTTAGGCCGCTGCGCCAGGCCGGAGAGGCGCCAGGCCGCCGCGCCGCCGCGAGTGTGGAGGGGACCGGGCGGCGGCTGCGCGAGGACCCTGATGTATCTGAACTCTGTGTTGTTTTTGGCATGTGTTTGATATTTGGAGTTCCATCTCGCCAATTCTACTGAACATATGCTAGCTAATCCAACAGCTAGCACTAATCGAGCAACAGAGCCAAAGCACCCAACTAAAAGGGGAACACACAGCAAAATTGATGAAGCACAGGGGCGCGCAGGCACCTCTTCCGCACCGGGAGGCGGCTGGACCTCGTCGATGTCAGGCCCGGCGGCCAGCCACCTCCACGCGCGGCCTGCCGCGGCGGCACGGCAGGGCCCCGGCCCCGGCCTCACGTGGCGGCCGCCCGACCCCCTCCACACTCGCGGCGACCTCGTCGGCCTGTCACCTTTCCGGTCACGGTGGCGACGACTCTCCCGGATTCAGTGGCGACACTCCCCGCTGGCTCGCGGACGCGCGCAATGAGAAATTGGGGGCATCGTCTCCCGCCAGTAGTGGGGATGAAAACGGCGGTTTTTTTGCCTGCGTGCGGGCCCAACTAAAGCAGACGTTGGATTCGTTTTGGATGGCTCAGATGCACGGTATGTCATCCGGTGACTTGCCATAGCAATGTCACCGAAGCTGAATCGAGGATCATGGCATGCGCAATCAGCGGAATTCCTGACACCAAATAGGCCGGTGCAAACTGCAAAACTCCAAACCGCTACCCATTTTAAGAACCCACTAGACAGAACCCGGAAAAGCTAATTCATCAGTCGACAGGGCAAACTTTAAATCCTGACAAAAACCTTTTCTTTATACCACCACCCCATCCCATGTGCTCCACACTTATCTGCATTTCCCTCCAGCCTATTTGTCCCTTTGCTCTTGCTTACTCTAGTATACTCCTACTTCCCAGCCTTTATAGCCTTCTGCCTTCTTCCTCACCTCACATATTTTTTTTCTTGGACTTCTTGGCGATGGATCCCCCACCGGCTCAGGCGATGAACACCGACGACTTCACGGACAAGACCATGGATGAATGGTAAGGAGGGTGCCTGCGCCATTTAGTTCTCCCTGATCTTCTCATCTTGCTCTGTTTTCTCCTTGATTGATTGGTTGTTTTTTTTGTGTACGCAGTTGTTCTTGCTGCTACGATTGCTGCTCCAGCATCCTGGATTTCCTCTGCTGTTCTTGATGCTGCCCCTCGTCAACCTTGCAGAAACTTCATGGGTGCTGACGATGAGTGAATCAGAAGTCTCGGTGATATATTTTGGGCTGTACAAGTTATTGAATTCTTAGATTAATTCTTCCTCCCTTGCGTTGTAACTGAGATTTGTGCGTCACTTTATGGATGATTTTGGGAGGAAATTTGTGCACTATCAAGTTCTGAAACATCGATTTGTCTTCCAGCCTTTTGCGGTATCCCTGAAGTGTTGTATATGGTATGAAAATCTCTTGAGTTCCCCTGATGATAGTTGATGCTTCGTGCCATCAGCAAAGTGTAACTCGAGCCAAGAAAATTCATGCACGACGATGGTGTTTGAGGCTAGTTGATGGTGTCTGATTGAATGTTGAATCGGAGCATCATGGGCTAGCCTTTTTTTTTAGTGGCGTTCTCTCTTTTGCTAAGATGACATCGTGACAACTGACTGGCTGGCTGGCTGACAGCCTGACCTGAAGAGAGTCCCACTTTTCTGTCCATTGTTAGCGATGATGTCAACAGGGCCGTTTAGGCCTTATTCGGAATACATGAAAAACGTAGAAAAATTTCCTCCACTTTTCCTATATCCCAATCCTCCATTTTTAATGATTTAGTAGTGTTAATTCCTAAGGAATTTGAATCCTCCAATATTTTCTCCAAATACCCTTCAAACCGAATGAGCCCTAAACGGCCTGCTCGATCGGTTGCTCTGTTATGCGCCCTAACTAGTAATAGAATTTACTTACATAAACGGGGTATTAATATTCATCCAAACATCAACCATGGTGTGATGGTGATCGAAAACCGAGCAAACAAAAGAGAGAATTGTCATGAATCCGACGAGACGATGCACGCGACGACGACGGTGATGTCGTCCACCTTCCCGCCGTAAAAGTGCCCCTCCTCGTTCTCGTGCTGCTTCCGCCACTCGACGGCGAACGGCGAGTCCTTCAGCAAGCAGCGCGACATCTCGTAGGCGGTGCCGCCGATGATGTCTGCCATGTTCTTGGGCGAGAAGCCCAGCGCCGTCCCGATCTGCACGACCTTCTCGAGCTCCGCGTCGGACATGTTGTCGAACAGGCCGTCCGTCCCGGCCACCACGACGTCGCCGCGCCTCACCTTCATCTCGCCCACCATCCCCACCGTCATGCCTTCGTCGCCCCGCCGGCCGCCGAGGTAGTAGGGGGCGTTGAAGTACCTCTGCTGCTGCACCGAGCGCACCACGACCCTGCCGTCCCGGAGCACGGCGAAGGCGCTGTCGCCGATGTACGCCCACCTGAGGACGTTGCCGTCGGCGAGCGAGAGGATGACCGCCGTGGACCCGCCCTGCGCGCCGGACTCCAGCGTCTCCTCGTAGGCGCGCTCCAGCAGCGTGTAGGGGCAGACGGGCGTGCCGGGCTCCGCCGTCACGAGCTGCGCGAAGGCGCTCGTCATGAGCCCGCGCGAGAACGCGCCGGCGTCCACGCCGACCCTGCGGCGGTACCCGCCGACGACGCCGGCCGCGTCGTGCACGAAGTGCGCGTCCTCGTCGTGGTCGGGCACGTAGCACGACGCCGACTCCATCCTCACTGCCTGCTGGACCTCGCCGTCGCCATGCGCCTGCTCCTGCGCCTGCGGCCGCAAGAAGGCCGCGGCGAAGCTTTTGACGCAGCCGTCGTCGTGGGGGAGCTCGACTGTCTGGTAATGGTGCTCGAGGCCGACCGCGGCGCGGACAATGTCGGGGACTAGCTTGCTGGTCTCGCGCAGGGTCTCTTTGATCTGCTCCAACGTCTCCATACGTTTCTCCATCTTTGGTTAAGAGTTTTTGGGGAACGCGTGCCAGGCTACGTAGACAGTGATCCATTAATAAATAGCGCGGCAAACGGTATACGAGTCCTATTCGCACTGCAGGCGATATGCTGTCCGATATGCAGTTGGAGTCGGAGATCGAGACGGATTACGGCTAAGGGCACTTTTAATGGCAGAGGCGAGTATGTTCTTTTAAACAAGATTATTTAGAGACGTGTCTTTATAATAGTTGAGACGATAAAGACTCTAATCATTAACTAAAAAAGTATTCATTTTACATATTATAGTGATTAAGAGTCGTTGTTAAGCTGTTGTTATGCATAACAACGATGTTTTGTCTCTCATCTTTCTCTTTCTTCCATATCAACAAATATTTCTAATTAGCAATGCTAAGAGACCACTATTGATAACCATTGTATATGCCCTAACAATCAACACAACATGAAACTTGGGAAACTATCTGAACTATCAAGGAAATACACACTCACTATTTTACATATCATTTACTGATTTACATGGTTATAAAATAACTAAAACAAAAAATAAGATAAATTAATATGCGATAGAATTACTCCAAGTAGAAAAAAATAAATTTGACTAAAAATATAAGTTAACTGGCTATAATTTAATTTATTCTTTTTCTACAACTTGATGAACTCGAATTTTAACTTGCACTATTTTAATTGATATATCATGTATTAATCTATCTTTTTTTTTCTAAAAAAAAAGCATATTTCACACACCTAAACTCTTACGTTTGTCTAAAATACACCGCCAAACTACAAAACTAGATATAATACACCACCCAACTATCAACACAATACATGACACTTTACCCAGAGATGTTAAGGTGGGTTTTGGTGCATGTGGACGCTACATTGGCCAAGCCCATATGTGAGGAATAATTAACTATTTGCCACTCTTTACAAGTGGTTCTAAATAATTAGATTAGTTTGTCTAGCTGTTGGCATGGAGAAAGCAGCGGAGACTGCGGCTCAGCAGTCGCTACGGTGAAGGTGCGGGGGTGAGCTGCAATAGCACGTCCTTGAGCGGAGGAGAAAGAAGAGGATGTGCACGATGATGGCAAAATCTCTACTTCGTGCTTGGGTTGTCAAAGTTTGTCGTCACTATCCATTCGCCTTGAGCTAAGAACGTCAACTCGGGCTCCAGCACCCGCTCCTCCTCCATGAGCTTCACCTCTACATCAAGCTTGGGCTCCGCTGCCATCGCCACTCTCGCTTCCTCCCCATCTGTCTTTCACCGCCACTCACACACACGCACACACACACACATCGTCGTCAAAAACGTCTTATCTGAGCTTAGTCGATGGGGCTGGCCCCGTCATCCTCGCCAGCGGAGGGAGAGGAGAGGGAGTAAGGAGAGGGGCGGTGCATCGGCGGTGGCCGGTTAGCACGACGGCAAAACGGGTAGGGGACTGGGAACAAATCGAAGAGATTGTCGTCAATGGCGTCCTCGCCGCGATACTTCTGAGGATGCCGAACAGCCGAAGACACAGGAAGGTGGAGAAAGATAGGGGAGAGGTAGGTCTGACATCTAGGGCCTTCTGGCTTTTTAATACGTGCATCCTACGTGGTGTCCCCGATATCATACTAAACAATAAGACCTTGTTCGGTTAATCCCCATGAGGGATGGATTGGAAGGGATTTATTCCACACCTATTGTGGTGTGGAATTATTCCCCCTCAATCCCCTCCAATCCTTTTCAATCACCTCCAAACCGAACAAGGCCTAAGACGGAGTAATGAGCACGGTATTGATAGTTAGAGGGTAATACCTTATTTTAAAGTTCGAGGGTGTATTTTAGACAAAAAAAAAAGTTGATGCTGTATTTTAAAATCATGATTATGTGGATAACATGCAAACAATAAAATATGTTCCCCTGAAATTCTTGTATTATGTATTTCTCATATTAAAGCGCAGTGGACGAATTATAAAAGTAGTATCGGTAATTATCTTAGATCATCCAATTGAATTCTCATAATAAAACAGAACGAACAACGAACAACAGAATTATCCTGGAATTGATCATTATGTATATACACCGTAAGACTTAATACAAATCTTAATAAAGCCTTTAACAACCGCATAATACAAGGATTTTGCTCGAGAGACATCGATCGACAAGACGACAAGCTGATCGATCGTGCAATTTAGTATGCTACAGCCTACAGATCGTACGTACACCCGTGTAGATCATAGAATGTACACCAATGACCCTATGATCAGACAATGTAGGCGACGACGACGGTGATGTCGTCCCTCTTCCCTCGCCGGAAAATCGTCCCTTGCTTCTTCCGGCTCTCGAGGCTGAAGGGCGTGTCTCTGCCCATCGTCGTCGACGCCTCGTAGGCGAAGCCGGCGACGACGTCCGCCGTCTGCTTGGGCGACAGCCCCAGCGCCCTGCCCATCGCGACGATCCGCTGGAGCTCCTCGCTGGTCACGTTGTCGAACAGCCCGTCCGTCCCGGCCACCACGACGTCGCCCTCCTTCACCTCGACGCCGCCGCGCGCCGCCGAGGTGACGCTGTTCCCGTTCTTGACGCTGAGCTGGAACGGGTAGTTGAAGGAGTGGACCTGGGCCTCGGAACGGAAGAAGAGCTTGCCGTCGCGGAACACCGCGAACGCGCTGTCGCCGATGTAGGCGTATTTCAGGGTCGCGCCGGCGAGCGACAGGATCACCGCCGTGGATGCCCCCTGCGTCCGCGCCGATACCGCCTGCTCGTACGCCCACCCCAGCAGCGCGTAGGGGCAGATGCCCCCCGCGCCGCCGGGCGTCGTGGCCACGACCATCTCGAAGGCGTTGTACATGAGGGCGCGCGCGAACGCGGCGGCGTCGACGCCCGGCGCGCGGTACCCGCCGACGCCGTCCGCCAGGGCGACGACGCCTGCCTCGGGGCGAACGAAGTGCGTGTCCTCGTCGTGGTCGGGCAGGAAGCACGACGCGGCCTCCATCCGCAGCGCCCGCGCCGGCGCCGCCTCGTCGCACTCCATGGGGTCGTCGCCGCCCTCCGGGCAAGGCCGAGGCAGGCAGGACGCGGCGATCCTCGTGACTTCCTCCAGCGCGGCGCCGGCGGTGGGCCGCAAGCGGAGGCCCATCGCGACGCGGAGGGCGTCGGGGATGCGGCGGTCGATCTCGCTGAGGGTTTGCCGTATCTGCGGCAGAGCCTCCATGTCGCAGGATCGGGTTGGGTTGATCGCGTCGCGAGCGTGCGTACGTAGTACTGATCTGAGTGCGTGCACTCGTTGCCCCGTGGTTATATAGCCCGTTGTCTCGTCCCGTTTCTGCTTCGGAATCGGCGCTTAACTTGTGATCCGATTCGGCTTCGGAAACACTAAACACCGGGGGTCCCGAATTTTCCATCTACACCGAACGCCCGCCGTGTCCGCCGCTTAGGCGCTGACCACCGTCTTGCCACCCTCTTTTGCACGGGTGGCATCGTTGGAGGCCGTCGCCTGGACCCCTGCCACCTCCGTCCGGACCACCATGTCATCGTCGCGAGGGGAGTACGTCGTCGACTGTGGTTGTGGCGGAAAGAGGCACGTCGAGGAGCCGCGGGTGGGGGAGGCTGTCGAGCCGGCGACCGCCTCGGGCCAGCCTCGTTGGTTTAACCATTTTAAGTAAGTTCATTTATCCATGGTTTAATAGAGTCAATTCATCATAAGTCTATTATATCAATAGGATATACATGGATATCCAAATTGATCATCTATGTTACTAGTAGACAAAACAAATTCTTATTACATGTATGCAAAACTTGGGCCTAAAAACTTTTAAACTTGCGTTCACATTTTAAAAACTTATCAAATTTAGTTGAATTTTGTAGAGATGATTTATTATATGGAGAAGCAACTTTGTACAAATTTTAAGCCATTTAGACATGCCCCCCTATATATGCCGCATTACTAAGATTCAAAAATTATAGTTACATGTGTGTAAAATTCGGACCCAAAATTTTTAAACTCGCGTTCACACTATAAAAACTTGTTAAATTTAGTTGAATTTTGTAGGAATGATTTATTATATAGAGAAGTAACTTTGTACAAATTCTTGAAACATTTATACATGTGAAGTCATTTTAGGTCGAACCCCTTAAATCTAGGTTCTAATGGTTTAAGCCATTTGATCCATTTATAATTTTGGAGCGACCCTAAAAATCCGTTATGACAAATTTACGGATAGGTTTAGTGAATAAATGGATCGACCATACCCATTCCCATCCTGACTAATCCCAACCCTGGATTTGCCATGGTGCCTTATAGGATCGGTGTTGATTATATAGCCGATAGAAATAACGAAGATAAAGTAAGCTAATTGTGGTTATATCGATCATAATTTTATAACCCTCCCACCATGTGGGTTTATGTTTTCGACAAAATTAAGCAGACTGAAATCTGTGAAATTTTGAGGTTTTTGGCATGGGACGGAAGTAGATTCCAAGTGAAATTTTGACTGGTTTTTGTAACGCCCCGACATTTGTTAGCCATAAACACAGCTAACTCACACCGGGGTGTTATGCATTACCTGTGATATAGTACCAGTCCCAGGATACACTAGCTGGTACTCACAGAATAAATATGGAATCAAAGTAAACTGCTTTATTACATCACTGGGTAGTAGTCCTTACAAACGTTGCTATCATGGACATGCCCATAGATGAACAACACAACATTACAGAAAAACACAAAAGCGATGGCGCAGAAACGAACAGCGTGGAGTACTAAGCAACTAAGTGACTACGCACTAGGCAAAGAACCTAGGCAACTAACTTATTCCACAGGCGAGGCTTGGGGCTAGGCACGAAACATCTAAAAGTCTTCATACTCGGCTTGCTCCTGGAGATACTTCTCGGCGGTCGGGTCGACGTCTTCATCTTCAAACTCTATAGATTATTATAAGGGGCAAGGATGAGTACTTAACGTGCTCAGCAAGCCAGGTGTCACGCCCCGAACTAGTACCGACCGGAACTAGCCCGTGACGCTCCAAATTAACCTGTTATTCGATACCAGTCCCAGGAAACAGTGCTGGTATCACAGGAAGACAGATTATCACAGCAACAGAGGTCTCTTTATTATAGAGTAGAGGTACAGTCATGTTGGGCTGCGGACAGACCCCGAGCTCACAACTGCATTACAAAAGGAAAGCGGAAGCCAGGACTAGGACCAAACATCACAGGCGCGACTTGGGAACTAGGCCGAAACCCTAAAACTCATCGTAGCCGGCTTGCTCCTGGAAGAACTCTTCATCAGCAGGATCCGCTTCATCTTCTTCAGCAACTGGGGGGATTATTTATATAGAGCAAGGGTGAGTACGGGAGTACTCAGCAAGCCAGGGGAAATAAGTGTTTAATGCAGGCTTCAAGGAGAGACTGTTGTTTTTACAATTGATTTTATTTGAACTCTTTTCTGAAACAACTAAGTGAGTGCTTCTCAAACGACACGGATGAGACAGTGCATCTCGTCCGGTCGGAGTATGTGCAATGTATCAGTCTTTAGAATTGAAACAAGGTTGGCACCCGGCCAACAGCTTTTCAACGGCCACCCGGGCCAACAGCTTTTCAAACGGCCACCCGGGCCAACAACTTTTCAAACGGCCACCCGGGCCTAGCTGATACCATTAGCTACAGATTTTTCAAACATCGAACCCCTTTTCACAACAGCAATTTCACAAGCAGTAGTTAAACAAAACTACGCTAGGAATCACCTCACATCCGCCCATGACTGTGGGCACGGCTGTTCGAACAGTTTGTTAACCTCTGCAGAGGGGGTACACTTTACCCACACGACATTACTAACCCGGATCACCCAGCCCGTGGGGATCAGCCACGTCGGGAGACCTCCAAGCTTTCATGACAAGGCATTTCCAAAGCCGACACAGGTTTACCATATGCCGACGAGAGGGGTCCCAGACCAACAACAGGTTAGGTCCCAGACCATACTGTGCCAGGAAGCCCAGGGGTCCTCCCCGACACCACCCCGGCGAATCCACATGTCTCTCGGCATCAAGGCTCCCCTGATAAGCTAGTTACTCAGCCAGGGGTGTCCCATTCCACCCATGTGGTCGTACTTGTCTTATGTTTGGATGAAATTCCAAGGAAACGGTCCTTAAGTGCAAGAGCGGGAAACCGTACACCCGGTACGTTCCCCGGTCCGCGGTTTTGGAAATTCATTTAGTTCGCAAGCACCGACCCAGGTGTCGGGTTTTCCAAGTCTTTTGTAAAACCCAAGTTTTACCCAAGTTGTTTTTCAGATTTTAAGTTTGAAGGCGTCCGTCGATACTCGCGCAGGGTGCACGAATATCGAGACGCAACTGGATGGTTACAAGGGGACATGGTATCACAATTAACAAAGGAAGGATCAAATGCAACAAATTAGGTAGGTCTGCCAATCTGCCTTGCAGACGGGACAACAGATTAAGTGCGATCCTATCAATGCATAATATTTTTCAAGCAACATAATTAAATTTCAAATATAGGCTCAAGATGTTCAAAGGTGGCTTGCCTTGCTCGAGATCTGGAGCTTGATCCTCGAAATCCTCGCACTGCGGGTCTTCGGGCTCCGAAACTACACGCGAAACGGGGCAACTCAACAAACGGCGAAAATAAAGCCCTATTAATGACCTCTAAGCGTGCCATTAGATAGATCTCGAGATTTGAGGAATTTTGGAAGTTGAACGGAGTCAAACGGGTTTACGGTTGGGAAGATATTGAATTTCTAAGATTATTGGATTTTTGGTCTAAAGGAAAAATGATTTAATTAAATCCTTTTTGAAAAAGAAAAGAAAAGGAAAGGAAAGAGGGAGGGATAATAGACTTTTCCTCGGGCGGCTAGGGCGCGGCCCGAGAGAAATGGAGCGGTCCGACCGAGCTAAATGGGCCGGCCGGCCCAAGGCGCGCGCACGCGGGAGGGGAGGAGAGAGAGAGCCGGTTGACCGGGCTCACCACGCGTGGTCCCGGGTGGGACCCGCTTGTCAGCGGCTCGGCTCACCGTGCGGAGGGAGCACGCGGCGCGGCGCTAGGGTGAGGGAGGGACGTGGTGCACGCGCGCGGCGCGCGGTGGACGCGGATGCGGCGGGCCCACGCGCAGCCTCACGGCTCGCGGTGGAACGCGCGCACGGGGAAGGACTGACCGAGATCGGCTCGACCCGGTCTTTGGCTGAGCTGGCGCCGACGTGGCGCCTACGTGGCTGCCACGCGGGCCGGCGGGAGGTAGACGACGACGCCGGCCGGAACGGACGGCGGACGACAGCGGCGAGCGGCGGAGCGAACCACGGCGATACAGGCGAAGGCAAGCACACCGGGTAGCTGCACAGGATGAGAGGAGATGAGCCAATGGCTCGGATTCGCCGGAGGATGCCCGACGGCGGCGAATTGCGGCGGCGGCATCCGGCGGCGGAAGAAGGGGGAAACGGCGACGAGGTCACGAGGGGCCGATTCCCGGCGGCGAGAGCATCTACGCGGCTACGGGAATCCGATGCTAGCGTCGGATTGGGCGGAGCTACGCCGAGCGAGGCCGGCGACGAGCGGGTGCTACGGAGCTCGGGCGGTTACGGCGGCGAGCACACGGCGAGCGACGGCAACGGTCGGGGCGGCGCCGGCTAGATACGGGGAGGCTACACAAGCTACTACCGAAAACTAAGGGGGGAGATGGAGCGAGGAGGGAGAACGGGGAGATGCTCTACCGTGCGGGCGGGCGCAGTGACGAGAGGCCGACGGCGCGGGAGTAATCTCTCCGGCCTCGGGCCGGGGAAGAGGAAGGAGAGGGCGCGCCCGGAGTCCTCTTCCGCGTCCTTGCTCGTGCCGGCTCCTCCGACACGCGCAATGACGAACGGCGACGGCGAACAGAGCACGGGGGTGGCGGCAATGGAGTGGAGGCGATGGAAGGAGAAGAGAGGGAGGGCGCCCGGGGCTTTAAGGGCGGCAATGGCGGTTTGGGAACCGACTTAGGGCGGTCAAGGCGCGAGCTGGCGCTCGGCGCTCGCGTCCAAATCGGCGACAGGGCGGAGGGAGGAGGATGACGCCGGCGGTGACGGAAAAAGGAGAAAAGAGGGAGAGAAAAGGGGCTTGCCTCCTTGCCGCTTTGGGAAAAAGGAGGAGGGGAGCGGGGGCGTGGCGGCAGAGGGAGGAGGGGCTCTGCCTCCGTCCCTTGGCGGCTTGCGTGCGGAGAGACGGGGCCGAGGCGATGACGGCGGGGCGGTTTGGAGTGGCGCGACGACACGGGCGGCAGGCGCGGCAGAGGCTGACGGCGGCGGCGACCAGGCGGTCGGCCACCACGACACGCGCGCGGGCGGGAAGCAACGGGCGGCGCGGCGATTTGAGCGGCGCGGCTCGGGCACGCGCGCTGGCTCGCGGGGCCGAGCGGCTGCGCGGCTGCAGGCGCGGTAGGGCAGCGGGGCCGGGCGGCGTGGACGGCGTGGCACGGGCGGCAACCACGCGGGCGCGCGCGCGAACGACGCGCGGGGAGCGGCAGCGAGGGAGCGGAGGGGAGGGCTCGGCTCGGCGCGGGCGGCTCACGCGCACGCGCGCGCGGCGCGCGGGCGGAGCGGAGGGGGAGAGGGAGAGAGAGAGAGAGAGAGAGCGCCGGGGAGAGAGGGGGAGATGGGCCGAGAGAGATTCGGCCCATCGAACCCGGGGGAGGCAAAATAGACTTTTGCGGAGGGATTTGATTTGAGAGATTTGGATTCTGGATTGAACTCGACGATAGATCGGGGATTTGAGATCTGAGATGGCACGGACACTAGACAACAAGCAAGGAAACAAATTTCGCAACTAGGGTTTTTAAGAGATAATTTTCCCGCTAGGCGCCACGACGGAACGGGCGCTACATCAGGGAAAAGAATGACATGTCGGTTTAACAAGGAGGCTACGGTTTTATTTGTGAAGGCTGCCATTTTGGCAAAATGATTTATTTCACAAAACTCCTAGTGAGTGAGTCAAGTTTTAGTTGTCGGGAGGAGGCTCACGCCTCGACCCATTCCACAAGTTGCTTTGCAACAACTTGTCACAATTAACGAACAACAATTAAATTGTTTTCTCTATTAGTTCCTTTTTCACAACAACACAGTTCACACAAATCTCCTGGTTATCCCAGCACATCAACGCCATCATGGCCCTAACAACACCTCGGTGTCGGACGACACCTCAGGTCACACAGACCCGTTCCTAACCACAAAGGTTAGCTGTCTGCCACACAGGCGGACTCTGGTAACGTTCCCTTTTCAGTAACCACTTTTCCACAAACCTTTGTCAAACAAATCTACGCTATGAGAAACACCTTACACTCGCCCTTGACCGTGGGTATGGCTGTTAAAACAGTTCATTAATCTCTGCAGAGATTGCACGCTTTACCCACACGACACGAAACTTACACCGGTACTGGCCGGTACCGGAAGTTCGTGATAAGGCCTTTCCAAAGCTAACCCATGAAAATCGCATACCACCTAGTTGGGCAAAGATCCATAGCCGAGTATCAGGCAATGACAGCCGTCATCCACTCAGGAAATACCGAGGATGCCTCCTACTCCTACTGGTACCACGCCACAATAGAGGCAAAAAGACACCCATGATGGGCAATAAATGTGTAACACTTCGTCTCCTCATCCTCGGTATTGCACAACCATTGGCACACCAACTCCCATGTGAAAACAATTTACTCAGCCAGAGGCATCCCATAAATACCCGTGTGGTCACACTGTAATGTGTTCGGATGGATTTCCCAAAGGAATCAGTCCTTAACGACAATACGTGGCCAAACCACAAAGGCTTGACTCCGCATCATCACCACTTTCACAACACATTTTATTTCACAACTACTTTAATCAGGTAATTTGGAATAACCCAAGTTTCCCACACGGCAACAACGTAAGCATGGCTAAGCGAAACTACCTCGGTAATCGTGTAACAATACCGGCACAAACATTTGTGGAGCTATCAAAGGTATAGAAACATCAACCTATGTAATATAAGTGTGACTACTAGGTTGGTCCGTCGGTTGTATAAACAATCCGAGGCCTAAACATGTTAATCGTGTATGCTAAGTAATGCACTTTTCAAACAACATATCTTTGCAAATATAGGGGCAAAGTGATCAAAGAGGCTTGCCTTGCATAGGGTTGGGGTCTTCTCCTTCGAAAGCGGCGTCCGGAGCTTCCTCGAACTCGGGCTCTTAACGCGAAAACAAAGCTAATAAACAAAAGGCAATAAAACAAGCTCAAACCAGAGAAACAATAGCGACGGGATAGATGGAGTGGACGGCGACGGGACGGGGTGACGCGAGGCGACGTGGCTCCGTGTCTCCCGGAGAGAAACCGGAGCGAGGTCGGGCTTGGCGCGACGCGATTTTGGCGTGGCGCGGCCTCGGCCTGGTGCGGAGGCGGTGCGGCGCGGGTGTTGGCACGACGCGCGGCGCACGGGAGGGTGTTTTGGTGCAACACACGGCTCGGCACGACTTGGCGTCCGGGCGGAACATTTCGTCGAACACCTTGTGTGCACGTGGCTAGCTGCCTCAAGGAAGAAGAGGTGAATAGGAGCTGGGCTGGGCTGGCCGACTGGGGAGGAGAGGAGTTGGGCCGAGGGGAAAAGAAAGAGAGGATGAGGCCCGAACTGAACAGTACTGCTTCACAATTTCTCAAGGATTTGTAGAGTTTGAATTTTGAGGAGATTTCAAAGGATTTGAATTTGAATTTGACCTAGGATGTCACAGAAATTTTAAAGGCAATTCTAAGAGAGGATTTGAGATCTATTTGGCACAAAATCAATTAAGAACCAAATTAACTCCAAAATTTTAAATGACAAGATTTTTAAATAAAAGCAAATAAAATACGGGTGCTACAGTTTTCGAGAATTCAAATTTGAAACGTAAAAATTGATCCAAGTTCAACTAGAATTTGATTGAAATTTGTGAAAAATGTCATACCGCTAGCCGCTAGGGTATAGACTCTCAGTATCACAATACAAAAGACATAAACAAACATAAATTTGTAGAACAATATAATAGAGCACCACATGTATGAAGCATGCATGATTTAGGATTAATGTACATCTTCGCTCTTAGGCAACAAAATGTTTACACGAACGAGTCAGCGGCATGACACATTTTTTTATGACTCATTAAGCGCTTCGGTTAATTCCTTAAGATGCTTCATATTGATCAAACTATCCTTTTTCTTTCACGGCAATTAATAACGTTCACGATCAAATTAACAAGCCCCTATTGTAATCTCTGTCCACTAATCCCACGAATGAATTCCTCAATGTTCCTCTTTGCTACGCACAATGCCTCACCCGCCATAACCCTCTCCCTCAGCTCATCCAGCTTCTCCCGCAAGCGCCTCCCGTCCTCGCCTTCCATGATCCTCCCGACGCAATCCACCACCTCGCCACGGTCGGCACTGCGCAGCCTGATCCCTATCCCCCACGCCCTGACGATGTACGCGCAGTTGATGAACTGGTCGCCGGCCACCGGGTAGCACAGCATGCGAACCCCGTGCCGTATCGCCTCCAGCGTCGAGTTCCAGCCGCAGTGCGTGAGGTAGCACCCGACGGCGCCGTGCGCGAGGACGTCCTCCTGCGGCGCCCACGCGACGATCTTGCCGCGGCCGGAGTACTGATCCGTGTATCCGGCGGGGAGGCCGGCTCGCCACGACGGGTCGTCCTTGAGGACCCACAGGAACGGCCGGCCGGTGGCCTCCAGGCCGACGGCGAGCTCGGTGATCTCGCCCGGCGCGATCGGCGCGACCCATGTCCCGAACGAGACGTACGCCACCGAACCTGGACGCTGCTGGTCGAGCCATTCCATGCAGCTGGTTCTGTCGTCTGCCTGACACGTGCTGGTGTCGTTCTTCGTCGTCTTCATTGGCGAACACCGCAAGTTGCTGTTGCCTTTTGCTCGATCAGTGACGATGGTGGCTAGCAATGGTCCAACTTGGAGGATTTGCTGGTCCTGCGGCAATGGCTGTTGCTGGTCGGCGCCGGCGGCGATGGCCTCGCCGGGGAAGGAGTTGACGAGGATGCAGCGGAGGGTCTTCACGCGCTCCATTGTCCGGAGCCAGAAGGCGAATCTTGATTTCTGGGTCGCCGCGTCGCCGACGAGCCATGGCAAATCTGTGGTGCTTAGCTCTAGTTCTTCGGGGAATAAGCTGATGATTTCAGCCTGGAGGTTTGCTTTTACTTGGCCCTGGTTTTTGTTGAATCCGTTTGCCAATATGGGAATACCTGTTTCCAAAAAGAAAGGGGAAAAAATTAAAGGTATTGATCTGTAAAACCCTAATCGCAGCTGTAAACTGAACATTGGCACATGACTGGGGGAAATTATTCTTGAAAAATTTAAAAATTGAGAGTGGATGTAAATATGTAATAATAGGTTTGGTTAGACCACTATTCAACGTGCTACTTCTTAAAAGAAAGACACGGGTATACAAATTGCTAAATAAGGATACTAAATTAATTGCTATAGTGAATAAATACAGTAAGATGCTTCTCAAGTTCCCAACGGCCTGTCCTACTTGTATTCTTCCATGCTTGAATTGCATCCGTATGTCAATGCAATTTTTAAGACTTTCGATCTGTCTATTTTAAAGTCTTTTATGGTACATCATTAATTGTTATTATATACATGTGTGAGCGGGTAGTACCATTAAATAAGTCATGGTAACAATTTGATGTCATACTATTAGTTATTTTAAAACATGCCATTTTAGATGTGTTTCATATGCAAAGCTTTTAAAAACACCATTATTTAAAATTTTTAGATTAGATGTACATTGTCTGTCCAAAAATATAAGCAATTGAAGCATTTAAATATTATCCAATAATATATAAATTACTACACTAGTATTTCTCGCATCAACCACTTCTTAATTACTAAAATTTCTTCCCTTTTTGCCCCAATTATTCTCAAACCCCCCATTCATCCTAAATGAGCACTATTTTTTTTCTCCTCGACCTTAAATATCCTTAATCCATGATAAATAACCTAGAAATATTTACTTGTTTAGTTGGTCTTTGCATCAGGAACAATTATGCCTTCTATTGAGAAATGTTGGGAGTATATTGTTAGATGAAGGGAGTATAAAATTGTATGCGTGATATATTACCTCAAAAACTACCTTGATATGTATAGGATTATAAGTTTGTTGGATTTTTTTTACTATTTTAAAAAATAACATTCAAAGTTGCAACCTGAAGATAATTTCGATGTTCAAAACATTTTTTTTTTACTAAAGAGTACTAGCCATCTATAGAATTAACGTAGTACAGTATTTTGTGATGTGCTTATGACAATTCAAAAGTCATTTGCACCAGATCGAGAATTGTAGTTAAAATAGAAGAAAAAAAAGCAGAAAGCCAGAAATGGGATGCATGGACGTTGCAGCAGCGCATACCGTATTCCGAGACGAGCCCCCTGTCGATGAGCTCGGGTATGGCCGCCACGACGCGGTAGCTCGCCAGCATCGCCGGCCAGAACCCCACGGCCGCCACGCCGCACCTCGTGGCCACCGGGACGGCCCACGACGCCAGTACGTCGACGACGACGGTTAGGCACGCTGCCCTCCGTCCAGCAGCTGCAAGGCGGTCGTCGTCGTCGTCGCGCATGAGCATGAGCACGCGCTCCAGGTGCGCGGGCATGCGGTTCTCCATGGCGTGCACGATGCTGGCGAAGCCCGGATCGCCGTCTCCGTCGTCGCCGCCCGGGATGCCGCTGGGGAAGGAGGCGAGCGCCACGCCGCCTCCGCCGCCGTTCCCGCCGGCCCGCACGACGCGGCGGTGGATGAAATCGGGCAGGACGACGGTGGGCGCGACGTCGCCGCGCGCGGCGAGGGCGCGCGCCAGGTGGAGCATCGGGGTTACGTGGCCCTGCGCCGGGAACGGCACGAGGAAGACGACGGCTGATGCAGCGCCGTCGCCATCGCCGTCGACAGGCTTGCGTCCGGTGCCCATGCCGGGCGGCGGCCGGCGATCGCGTGGCGGATCGAAGACCGGAAGCGATGAACTCGATCGCGTGGCGCAACGTGATGTGTCTGGGAGTTAAAAGATCGAGGCCGAGGGCGCGGCGCGCGGCGCGCCTGGGGAGCTCGGCTTTGATTTTAGCCAGCTAGCGATCTCTCCTCCTTGGTCACGTTCCTTTCAAGACCCATTTTGACATTCGCTTAATTAAAACATTGTTCGCTTGTCATTTCTTAACGCAAAGTAAACGCTCCATTCCTTATCAGCGGCACCTGACGACACGGTTATCCATCTGCTGATACAGAGGTCTCGTCGAAACTGTGTGCTAATCCTACACCTGATGACAGAGTGGGCGAGGATGTCCGCTGTTTATACTCGTATTTTTTTTAAATAATGGAATGAACATTTATACTCGTATTTAAACAGACGGTTTAATATACCACTTATTAAGTGACATTTAAATTACCATATACCTTTGTACATAATGTATTGTATCAAATTTTTAACTACCCAAATCTGCTACATATAATTAAACAAATAACCCACTAGAAAATAAATATAGCTAATAAATATAGCTAGTAGACATCTTATGAGAACACTGCGCCTGCCACTTTCAACCTTAAAAATTTTTTAAATTATATTACAAGTAAATTGCACTGGTTGTACACGAATTTACAGGTAGGTGCATGCCACCTAATGCACAAGCTTACAAACTGCCTATTTAGTGTATGAAGTTGTCCAGTACGTGCGAAACAATACTGGAGCGACACGTCATGACTAATAATTGTGAGTTGAAACCTACTTACAATGGCATGCGCACGCATCAAAAGGTCATAAAAGGCATACCACATTTGTGAATGACCTCTACTTAGTATTTATTTGTGTTTTTTATTGTTTACAATTCATTTTATCCTTCATACTTCTATATATTATTCCCCTGTATAATCAACATCTACTATTATATATTTAACTGAGCACATGCATGTTTCTAGATGGCATCATCCTGATATGTGTACATATGTTGCATCCTAATAAAGGTTCAACTCAGTAAGATTAACCATGCATGCTTAGCCTTGGTTCACACAGACCATGCAAGTCTGTGCACTGAAATAAGCATCTTGCAAGTTTGTGTATTAGATTACATCCGCCTATAAAATTTATATACCACTAATATAATTTACTCTTAAATCATCAAATTTTTGTAGGGTAAGAAACTAAACATAATATTACCATTATTATCCTACCAAACTTTAGTAATTCCGGAAGTTTCCTCTCATAAAAACACAATCAAAAGTTAGTAAGACAAACCAAACAACATCTAAATTTGGTAATGTAAAATATGTCAAATTTTAGGTAAGGTTCGTTTGGGCAACTAGCCAAACAAGCCCATATATCACCTAGTAGATGTAGTGGAATGATGGACTACATTTTGCTTAGTGAAAGGTGTAATTTACTATTATTAATTAGTTTTTACACGAGCAATGAAGGTAACCTAAACAGTTACATAAGTACTCATTATTTTGAAATTCTTTTACAAGTACTATCTCCGTATCTAATTAAAAAAATACAAGTATCATATAGTAAGTATGTAACACATGTTAGAAACTCTTAACCAGAACAATACAATAATGAATAAAGTATATATGCACCAATCTTCCAGTATCGTGAAAATTAGTTCTGCCAGGTCTGACTTTCATCTGTAATGAAAGTGACCAGAGGAGTCTCGTACTGTCCGATTTGGATATGAACACATATTTGAGTTGCATGTTTTAAACATTGTGTCAAAAGACATTGCGATCTGTCAAACTGTGTGGAGGTCAAACTGTCTCCAGAACCCTAAAAAAATGGGCCTCTGTATGTTAAGAAAGAAGATCACAGTAGTGTGGTCCACAGAGGATAAGCCGCAGTAGCTGAAAGGAATAAGTTCACTTTGTGACCCTCAAAGTGATCGAAATCTAATTCGTAACCCTAAACCACAAAACCGGATATCTCGACCCTCCAACTCTTAAAACCGGTGCAATTTGACTCCCTCAGTGGTTTTGGAGAGCGGTTTCGCTGACGTGGCGCCTATGTGGCACTTAGGTGGCATTAGAAATAAAAAATATGTGTGAGACCCATTTGTCATCCACCAAAGTATGGGTGGGACCCACATAAACCATGCTTCCTCATCCTCCCTCTCTCTCTTTCTCTTCGGCAAGCGGCGGCGGCAGTCGGCGGGCGGCAGTGGTGGGTGGCGGCGGGAGGGCAGGCGGGCGGGCGAGGGCGGCGGCAACTCGTGGCAGTGGGAGGACGAGGGGAACGGTGGCGGGCGGGAGAAGCACGCCGCGGCGGCGACTTCGACTTTGACTCCTGCAATGGCGATGGCGATGGCGGCGTGGTCGGCGGCGAAGCGGCCGAAGAGGAACTTGGATACCTCGGTGACCAGCCCCTTTCTCGCATAGCACGTGCCTGGAAAAGGCGTGGTCGCGGACGACGACGAAACCGCGCGGCCCCACGGCGAGGCCGAACCGCGGAACCACTCGAGGAGAGGGAGGAGGGAGAGCGCGCCGCTGAGGAGGTCGCCTCACGCCATCACCCCGCTACGCGGCTGTCCACCGAGAGGAGAAGCGCCATGATCCGGTCGCCGCGGCCGCCGCTTCCCCTCGTCCTCCCTCTGCCACGAGCAGCCGCCGCCGGCTCCCCACATCCTCCCACTACCACAAGCCGCCGCCGCCAGTTCCCGCCCACCGGCCCCGGCCCGTCCCTCAGCCACTACTCGCACCGCCGCCGGCTCCCCTCGTCCTCCCACTGCCACGAGCCACCGCCGCCCTCACCCGCCCACCCTCCCGCCGCCGCCGGCTCCCCATGTCCTCCCACTGCCACAAGCCGTCGCCGCCCTCATCCGCCCGCCCTCCCGCCGTCGCCACCGGCTCCCGCCTGCCGGTCCCCGTCCCTCAGCCGCCGCTCGCACCGCCACCGACTCCCCTCGTCCTCCCATTGCGACGAGCTGCCGCCGCCCTCACCCGCCCGCCCTCCCGCCGCCGCCGCTGGTTGCCGCCACCGCCAGCCCCCATCCCTCAGCCGCCGCTCGCCGAAGAGTATGAGAGAGAGGGAGGATGAGGAGAGCATGGTTTTATGTGGGCCCCACATGTCAATGGGTCCCACCCATACTTTTGGTGGATGACAAATAGGTCCCACACATATTTTTTATTTCTAATGCCACCTAAGCGCCACGTCAACGCCACATGGAAAGAAGACCGAGTCAATACTGCCACGTAGGCGCCACGTCAGCGAAATCGCCCTCCAAAACCGCCGAGGGAGTCAAATGACACCGGTTTTAAGAGTTGAGGGGTCGAGATATCCGGTTTTGCGGTTTAGGGTCACGGATTAGATTTCGATCACTTTTGAGGGTCACAAAGTGAACTTATTCCTAGCTGAAAACCCATAAATTGGTGGTACTAGCAAGGCCCATGTAGGGTCTTGGAGATGGAAAATGAAACATGACATGGCCAGAAAAAAAGAGTATTGCCAACAAGTGCCAAAATTTTGACATATCCTTTTGAAAAAAGAACTTACATCGTATCAAAACATTGATGCTAAGATTCTGTTCCAAAACGTAAAGAAACAAAAAGGATAAATATTATGTAAGGTAAGTTTAACTTCGAAGTTTAAAAATACAATAAAATTGATAACATATGATTCTTTAAAACTTGAACTAGATGAGGACCACGCTACTACGTTAGTGAAAAAAAAAGGGAGACAGGAGATTCAAGTCTTGAACCTTTGGGTAGAAACAAAAGGTCTCTACAGCCGGGCTATGCATGTGACGCTGAGTTTAGATTACATGGCAAATAGGTGCCACCTTAGTTTGGCGCTAATGGTCTTTACAATTAATTTTCGATACGATCTATTTTATAAATATGTTTTGAGGATCAATTTGTCAAAAATTTCGGCAACAAACGTGCAAAAAAGAAAGTTTCCGAGCTTAGCTTTCACCTAGAAAGAGGAAAGAAGAAATGAAACGGCAGTTTGCCCTCTTTGTCTGTTCTGGTTTCTGAAAAAAATATCGAAGTGAAAAAAATCTAACCGGTTTCTCTGGCTGTAAACCAAGCCACTGATTACTGAAAAGTAGCTGCATAACTAACCGGACATCGCCGTAGCAGACTAGCAGCAGCCAGGAGCCCAGGAGGCCAGGAGTGTGCGTGGGACGGCGATTGTCACCCGCACGCGCGCCAAGTCGGAGAGAAAGCCAAAGTGAGAGGAGCCTTCTTTCACGCATCAGCTTCGCGCCGTACAGCCGCCGCCGCATGCCACATCGCACGCTCCGGCGCCACGAGGTTGCTGCGCTTTCTCGGCCAATTGGACCCCCTGCCGACTTGGACCCGTCTCGGCCGTCGATCTCTCTTGGCGACGGAAGATAAAGGAGTGGATTTCATCGGGTTAACGTGCTTGTTTTTACCACCGTGTCACTGACTCACTTTGCCTGTGTGTACGCCGAACTGAACAATCTCATCTTTTGGCTCCTGCCGCTCCACAACAAGCTCGGTAACTCAGTTCAAACTGCACAGGTTGCGCTGCACTAGTAGTACACTACTAGCTACAAGGTCTGAACTTGTGAGCTTTCCATCATTTGTTGCAGAAACGCCACAAAATTCAGTCAAATCCGACCAAAATCCAGCGAAACTGACAGAAGAAAACAAAACAGAGGGGAAAGGCCACGAACATAAGAAGGAATATACTACTACTATTCTTATATGGGCCAAATTCTTTCTTGCCACACAAGCAAGGCCCAAGACGACAGGCACCGCAGGAAAGAGCCCCAAGCCCCCAACCAAACAAAAAGATCCAAGCCGAAGCGCACCGTCTCGCCTTCTCTCCTCGCCTCGCCCTATCCGTTCCTCGTTATAACTCACCTTCCTCCCCATCTCATATCCCCAAATTTCACTTCGCTCGAAATCCCCGAATCCAATCCGAACCGGCAGCGGCAGCCATGACGCCCTCCGCCCTCGCCCACCTAGCCTCCGCCTCGCCGCTCCCCGCCTTCTCCCCCAAGCCCAGGGCGAGGCCCGGCTCGGCGGCGGGGCCCGCGCTGCGGCGGCTGGCGGTGGCGGCGCCGGCGCCGCGGGCGTACTTCTCGTCGTCGCCCATGCCGTACCAGCCGCAGCCGCAGCAGCCGGCGGGGTACTCGTCGCACCAGGCGTTCGGCCTGGTGCCGATGGTCATCGAGACCACCTCGCGCGGGGAGAGGGCGTACGACATCTTCTCGCGCCTGCTCAAGGAGCGGATCGTGCTCATCCACGGGCCAATCGCCGACGAGACCGCCTCGCTCGTCGTCGCGCAGCTGCTCTTCCTCGAGTCGGAGAACCCGCTCAAGCCGGTCCACCTCTACATCAACTCCCCGGGCGGGGTCGTCACCGCGGGGCTCGCGATCTACGACACCATGCAGTACATCCGCTGCCCCGTCACCACGCTCTGCATCGGCCAGGCCGCGTCCATGGGCTCCCTCCTGCTCGCCGCCGGCGCGCGCGGGGAGCGCCGGGCGCTGCCCAACGCGCGGGTCATGATTCACCAGCCATCCGGGGGCGCGCAGGGCCAGGCCACCGACATCGCCATCCAGGCCAAGGAGATTCTCAAGCTGCGCGACCGCCTCAACAAGATCTACCAGAAGCACACCGGCCAGGAGATCGACAAGATCGAGCAGTGCATGGAGCGCGACCTCTTCATGGACCCCGAGGAGGCGCGCGATTGGGGGCTCATCGACGAGGTAATTGAGAACCGCCCCGCGTCCCTGATACCCGAGGGCGCCACTGGCGTTGACCTGCCGCACCACAGCGCCGCTGGCGTCGGCGGAAGGGGCAGAGATGTCGAGGAGCCCTCCGCGGTGTGAGCTGTGGCCGCAAAGGTGAAACCTTTTCGTGTCCCATGGCCATGTTGTTGTTGTTATTAGATCCAAGGTTCAGTTCTTATACTACATAAACTTAACTTGTTATTATTCAGGTTGCCACTTGTTATTCAGGTTGCCGATGTGTTCGGCTCCTTACATGTTGTCTTGATTGCCTGAATTGAGCTACTGCTGATATTTATTGCAAATCTAAGGAAATTTTATTCCTTCCATACTGATAACTTCGTAAGGTCCTTTGTATTGTTGTATCTCAACTGCAAATTCCTCCTTGCCAAGGCATAGTTTTGCGTTCTGCCTAACATTAGGGGTTAGAGCGTATATGTTCATTCGGTTGTCTCAGTGACCAATTAGTTTTCATTAAGATGTCCATGTTGATCATTCAGTGTGGTCTTGTTTGATTTAAGGGAGTTGATTGTCTCTTACTTTGCCCTGGTGGTTTAGGCCTTCTATCAAAACAATATGAATTTGTGTGCTATCTAAAAATTATGATTGATACTGTGATGTTCTGATTCACTAAAAGGTATTTTCAGTTTCCTGACTACACAGGAAGCCTCAGAAGTTACTTTTTTTTTTAAACCTAAGCCAGCCGAGCTGGTTTTATATTTCAGAAGGGGAGCACTGTACAGGGCCTCAGAAGTTACTTACTTGAGACTTGTTTGTTAGGCTGTCAGAATGGAGCACAGTGTTCATTTTTTAGATAATGGAGCACAGTGTTCATAGATGGCTGGAGTAATCGACTAATAAGAAAAGGGTTTATGATGTAAACTAGCTGAAAGGTTTGACCATCTTTTGGTCACCAGACATATAGTAGATAATCAATTTAGATCTGGATAAGTTTTGAGCTGGAACTCCATGTCAGCCATACTAGTGTTTTGACATTCATCATTGCAGTTCTGGGCATTGTAGCGGAAGGAGTCATTTGACTTTTGATTCTTATGAAGCTAGGAAAGATGATCTGAATCTTAAAGTAGTTAAACATGACAAGTTTGGTATATTACAAACTTGCATAATTTTGTTTAATATTCACTATTCTGTGATCAAAATTGTTGCATTTATGTAGTACTCCATAAACTATGATCTGCATATGAACTAGACCAAGTTACAGAAGTGGATTGTTTTTAATGAATTGATGCTTGGGGCTTAACAGGCATGGAGCCTGATGCTTTTTATAACTTCAGAGCATCATCGTATGAATCGGGAAAGCAGAGGTTCCACGATCACTTGTTCATCCCAACCTGGATGGGTGGATCATTGAATTATACCTGCACATACTTGGTTTAGTCCAAATGCAGGTAATCGATTTGTATATGAACACAATTGGATGAGACGGAGATTCTGTAAGGTCCTTCAAATTGAGGATTCACCAATTCACCATATCCACCTATTCTGATGTAAATGGATACCTTCTTACCGGTATATTCCATAGTGACATGTTTGAAATTCCATTCTTGTGTATTTATCTGATGCCATTTTGGTTAGGCCTTTCGCCCTGGTAAAATGACTTTTTTTTAATCCAATGTCTGGTTACTTTAGCCTTTTGCACTGAACACCTAGTTTTTTTTTAATGAGGACATTACGTCCTTCAGAGCAGTTTCATCATCGGAGCATACCCAGGGTTTCCCTGAACATACCACACACTTAACCGATTACAGAGGTTCGCTTGGCTTGATGAACTACGAGGAGTTCCCAACTTGACTATCATGCCGTCGCGGCTTTGCTTCAGTGAAGAGCAAGTTTCATTATCCAGACTAATTTAAAATAAGTGAAGCACGAATAGGAAACTGAGAATAATAGAACATCGGTTAGGTGAAGAACAATGTCGTATCAAACGAGCAGGAAATAGCACTGTTGCTGGTGATGCTTAACTAATTTAGGAAGAGATTATGCAGGGCTCAAGAAAAGTATATGGATACAAATACCATTGTCCGAAACATGGAACTTCTTCCTTTCGGTACTGGAATCTAAGCATCAGGGCATGTAGAAAATGCGCCATGCCCTCTCATAGCATCTTCATGCAAGGTGCTACTCCCTCTATTCCAAAATATAACAACTTTTAGCACTTAGAATTTATCCAAAATATAACAATTTTTCCACCAATAAAATTACAATCCTCCACCATTTACTTTTCCCACCTACCTCCATTACTCATTCAATCACAACTCTCCACCACTCACTTTACCTACTTTCTTAGTAACCGTGTCCAACCTACTTTCTTAGTAACCGTGTCCAACGCTAAAATTTCTTATATTCTGGAACGGAGGAAGTATTACATAATAAAAGTATCCTTATAAATATCCTCTTCTCCAATTTAGAAGTTCGTTCATATACCTTACGGATTTCCTACTAAAGCAGCATATGTCTACGAGCCCCATCGTTTACCCTAAAAAGAATAACCCAAAATCAAAATTTAAATTTGAAAACTTAATTTTAAGATATTCTCAACGTAATTTCTCTTTCCATATTGGTTTTTATATTGCTAAGAATACATATAAAAATCTTACACATAAATTATTATCTTTTTCTAATAATCTATTACAACCTATAATAAGCTTTTAGGTAACCGATGAGACCCGAAATGTTAAAATCAGGTAATTGTTCGTTCTGGAAAAAGATCAGCTAATTGCAAAAAGTAAAAATAAAATAAAATGCAGAGCCGACCCAAACAGTAACGGGCTAAAGTCCACGAAGATGTGGGGGCGGCCCAATTCCCGACGCCAAAACCCTTCTTCTCACCCACCACCAGTAGACTGATCGCCGCCTCCTGATTCCCGAAGCTCTCAACCTCACCGCTACGCCGGCCGCTGGCGTCGTCGCGCTCTTCTCGCCCCGGCCCGCGCGACCAGACAAGCACAGCGGCCAGCGGCCGCCACCGCCAGCCAAGCCAAGCCAAAGCAGGCATGGGCTCCCTCTTCATCAGGTTCCAAGAGGTACACACGCTTTCTCTCTTCGCCGTCTACATCCCCCCGCAAACCATCACCTCCGGATCCCGATCTGCTCCTTGCGCGAGCGAGAGAAGCGCCGTGGATCCGGTTAACACGCGGATTTCTTTTTTGTTTATGCTTGTGGAATCTGGTGGCATTTTGATTGTAACTAGGCTGTGGGCAATCTAGTTTGTATAGTTGCAAGTCATTGTTTTACCTCTGTTGCGCTCTCCGTCGTCCCTGCCTTTCTTTCGTAGAATTTCTTCACTTTCTTGTGTTGATTCGGTTGATGTGTGCTTGACTTCGGCACACTCTTTCTAATGCCGACTCAAATGACTAAATGAATGCAGTGCTTGTCCCATCGAACAACATTATGATATTCATTTTGTCGGTACTTTTTTTTTGTTCCAATTCATTAACTGATGCATTTCCAGGCTGTCAAAACACTGGCTAAGAATCCGATGTTTGCTAACAATCGATTGTTTGCTCGAGATCCAAGGCATCTCCAATTCGAAGCTGACGTAAATCGCCTGTTTCTCTACACCAGGTTTGCCAATATCTGAAGAAAAATACCAGTTCCTTTTCACTGTAATATGCCGCAGATGGATATCCAGTTATGTGTATGCAGCATGTAGTTTTTGTGTTTCCGTAAATAACGAACACCTGAAACCACTATTTCAAATTTAGTTTAAATAATGTAAACCTCTAATAAGCAATAAAAGCAATTAAGGTAGTCGTTGGATTCTCATAGTTTAGATGCTACACACACTTGATCTTCTTGAAACCCTTTGGTTAGACATGTGCATCTTTCAAACTCTTCTGTTATCAGCAACTGGCGGATCATCCCACTAAAATATATGATTTATTATTACTATGTTCAAAATGTTAATTCACCACAGCCTTTCAACTGCATTATGAAGATGACTATTTTCCTAACCTGAGTTCTTTTCGATGTGTGCTCAGCTATTACCGTTTGGGGGCTAATGCTGAAGAGAAGGACGCAGAGGAGATTATTGACATGGCTAGCAAAGCTTCTGTTTCTGAGCAGCAGAAGCAAGTACAGGAGAATGTTCACTATCAACTTACAAATATGTGTCAAGCAATGGATAGCATTCTTCTTCCTGATACAAAAAATGGTGCTTCAGAAGCTAATAATTATCCTCGGCGTAGTGGGTTGAGTTTCGCTGTTGGCACAGGAGTTGCATCTGCAAACAAGCCAGGTAATTTGTTCTAACTAAATGCATTGAATTAGTACATCCGCAGTTCTCCACTTGCATACAGTATCAGTCAAAATTGGTTAGTACATTATGTGTTTGCATAAGTACCATTAGTAACTGATACTTTTGACTTTTTTTTTGCACCAAAGCATACTTCTGAGTTCAAATATGACAATCACAGTACAGTGCCTGTGTTTTCATTTCAAATCTTGATCATTCGTTGGAAAGGGACGAAGTATAATATTGTTCATCAGATATGACAAGTACTTGCTTGGCTAGCAAACTGCCTATTTTTGTGTACTTCGCTTATGCTTCAGTTTTACGTACCATGATTTAACATCCTTAATCAATTTTGTGCTGCTGAAGTAGGCTAAACAGAAATAAGTATATGCATTATGTTAACCCCATATCTCTGTTTGCAGCGAAATTTTTGTGTTCATCATGTTTGTTACATTTGGAGACACAGTTACACTTACATATTTCCTTTTATGAGTTGAATCCTGAGAAGCTTAGTTCTGATCCATTTACTCTGCAGTGCAGATGTCCCTTCTACTAGGCCTTTAAATCGCGCTGAATTGTCAAATAAATTTAGGGATCACTTTCAATACACCCTTGACATCAGGCCGTCACAAATCCCTCACAAAGATGCAGGGCAAGGTCTGTTCTTATCTGGAGAAACTAATGCTGGTGCTGTCCTAGCCATCTACCCTGGAGTTGTATATTCACCTGCTTATTATCGATATATCCCTGGATACCCAAAAATCGACGCGTGCAACAACTATCTGATCACAAGGTATGATGGAACAATAATTGATGCCAAACCATGGCAATTAGGTGGTGATAGCAGAGAAATATGGGATGGCTCAGATTTGGTGGATTACAATGCAGTGCCATCCAAAAGCCAAGAGAGCAACTCTGATAGGGCATGGAGGATGCTCAGCAAGCCTCTGAAGAAGGGTCACACTGAAAATTTTGGGGAAGTGCTTGAACGACGAAACCCACTCGCTTTTGGTCACTTTGCAAACCATCCACCAAAAGGGTCAACTCCCAATGTCATGATCTGCCCATATGATTTTCCATTGACAGAGAAGGACATGAGAGTCTACATCCCTAACATTACTTTTGGTGGTGAAGAAGAGCCCGTTACAATGAAACGATTTGGTTCATTCTGGTTCAAGTCTGGACGTTCTGGTAATCAGGAAGGGGAGTCTCCAGTTCTGAAGACTCTAGTGCTGGTGAGTACAAGGTCCATATGTGATGAAGAGCTCTTCCTGAACTACCGGTACAGCAACTCGAAGAAGCGACCAGAGTGGTATATCCCAGTTGATGAAGAAGAGGATAAGAGACGATGGAGCTAGTTTTGCACATCTTAGCTGTGAGCCTGTAACAATTCTTCCTGCATTGCTTTCTAACAATTATTTTTGTCCCGGTGTCGATCGGCAAATTGCAACTGGGAGTGATTTAGCTTCTGAAGTGAGATGGCAATTTTATTATGCTCATCTGGAGTCCTTGATCTTAATTACCATTTTGGTAGAGTGCCTGTTCTATACTCTTCTCACAAGGCTTTTGTAATGCATAAAAAATATGAGTACCAAACTACCAGTTACATGGTCATTAGTCCTGGGAACTATGTGTTCTTAATCCCAATATTCTTACGGGGAAATAATTCATCAATGGTTATGGATATATCATTACGGTTGCTAAATAAGTACTATCATATGGTTGTGCATAGAAAAGGGAATCCTGACATTTTTGCTGCCTGCCTTTCGTTGTTTTCTTATATGTAACAAGTACAAAACTTATTTCCTTATTGAATTGATTTACCTTTTAATCTGACTGTCAAGTACTAGAGTTGTCCTAGAATGTTCGCCAGCTAGTTTTGGCATTTCAAGATTAGAATATCATGGCATAGAGTCCAATAGTAGTTTGATAGTTTGATTTTCTTGATCATTTGCCAAGCAAATATTAGTTCATTGGTGCAGTGGTGCTATAGCCATCCATACATCTGAAACATGAAAGATGAGCAAATACAGCTTTTATTTCTTATCTAGTGATTTCCTTTGAGATGATCGTCATATAGAGTAGTAGTAGTAGTAGTAGTGCTGGTAGGGCTGCTTCAAGTTGCTCAATATCATGATGGGTATCCAGTATTGTGGTGCTCATCTGTCCTGAACTGAACTCATGCTATAGTGCATGGCCAAAGTTTATCTAATTGTGCCTTCTTTGCCGCATTACCCGTTCTTCCGTGAAATTCCCGCTTCACTGAATGTCATGTATGCAAGTTGACTGCTGACTATGCACTCCATTGAACCATGCTGTATTGCTGTCTGCAGATGGACGTGTTTCTGCTCATCTCCTTGGAATATGCTTGCCTGGTGACTGGTGCTATCTCAATCGATTCTGAAAGAACACACTGTTCTTTGCTAAGATGATAAGAAATGTACTTTGGTCAAATGGTTACTCCGGGAAGCCTTAAGATTTTGATTTTGCTCGGAGGAAGACTATCCACCAAGTTAGCTGGCCAATGTATTTTATGATCTCCAGGATTAAATCTTGTGTTGTTCCCCGGTATTTTGGGGTTGCAATTGTGCCTTCGCTTTCACATCGAGCATCACTTGTTCAGATTGGTGGCAACATGCTGAATAGTGAATATTCATTTTCTGTTGGAGCTGAATATTCAATTGATGAAGAGCATCAAATCAAGTTTATCATTACAGGAAGTATCTATCCTCCTGCGAGTTAATTAAGTTGCCAACTCATTTGGGAATGGAACAAAAAACCAAATTATTGAGAGAACAAGCAAGCTTGCTGTCAGTTTGTCGCAACGTGTTGACATAAAATAGGTTAGCAACAGCACAACGAGACACATTATTGTACTAAAGCTAGTGTTTGGGGATTAGTTTCGGTCGGAGTTTGTCTCCACCTGATCAAAGCTTGATATTGCAATATACTGACAACAACTAATGAGATTTCTTGAGGGGATGACGATCATGATTGATTCAGGCCTTGTTTAATTCGCGAAAAAAAAATTTTTAGATGTCACATCGGATGTTTGACCGGATGTTGGAAGGGGTTTTTGACACGAATGAAAAAACTAATTTCATAACTCGCCTGGAAACCGCGAGACGAATCTTTTGAGCCTAATTAAACCATCATTAGCACATATGGGTTACTATAGCACTTATAGCTAATGATGAACTAATTAGACTTAAAAGATTCGTCTCACGATTTCCATACAAACTATGCAATTAGTTTTTGTTTATATCTATATTTAATGCTACATGCATGTGTTCAAAGATTTAATGTAACGTTTTTGGAAAAAAAATTGGGAATTAAACCAGGCCTAAATGGTCCGGCATATGAGATGAGCTGTTGACTTGTTAGTTTAACGTGCCTTCTCTTCCTTGAATATCTAATTTCTTACTTGAACTTTTCTTTAAAACATACTAAAGAATCCTGATGCTTCGAGCATAAGGGATGTTTTTAATTGCTGAACTTCACCTGTTACAAATAATAGGATGTTTTAGATTTTTGTCGAAGTTTTAGAAGTACAATTTATAATAGCATATTAAGGTATATAAGTATTACTCAAGAAAAAAAATGATGGCCAATACTATTTCTATGTAACCAAATTACATGTTTTCCACGTGTATTAATTGTCAAATATAAAAAGTAGACTTGTACCGCCTACATTTTGAGATATAGTATTGAATTTAACCATCTAGAACAAACATATTCAGGCCAAATCACATTTTGCTTCATTATTAAGTTTAAGAATGGTTTGGTTTGTGCCCACAAGTCACAACTGAAACTGCTACATTTTCAGTGATGATGTCGCTATATGTGCAATTCTTAGGTTATCATCGTGGAGTTTTTTTTTTTTTGAAGTACAAACATTGTGAAGAAATATTTATTTGCAGTATCTTAAGAAATCTAGAATTATAGTACTTCTCTCTTTTTTAAAAAAAATAATATCATCATCCTTTGCACGGAATACGAGAGAGAGAGATGTATTCAATCTAATCACATAGAATAAAAACACATTCTGTTGACCAAATCAGAATTTGCTTCCTGCTTGAATCTTGATAGCCCATCTTTCTGGTGATAACTTAGGAATTTTTTTTTATATGCGGCCCTACTCTTCCCAATACAAGTTTGACAGTTAACAGCTCCATCGTTTTCTATCAGCCGTCACACTTATTAATGGAAAAAAATGACTTATCAATGTAACTTATATATATATATATATATATATATATATATATATATATATATATATATATATATATATATATATATATATATATATATATATATATATGTTTTTAGCGACTTATTAAAAACCAATAAAAAAAGTAAATTAAACATCAAAATTAACTCTAAAATTAAGCATCCTGACTTGCTTGTCTTAGTACAAGATTTACCAAATTGCCTAAATTGCAGGGAGCGAATTTTCTGTAAAAAAAAAGTTTTGGCAAAACAAAAACATTCAGGAAAGACATGTGCCGGCCGAAATGCCGAATCGATTCCTGGAGCTTGGAAGTGCATTCTCTGTAATTTCCAAACGGACAAAACGATGTAGTAGCATACTGCGCACACGCACACCTTCTTACTGTAATTTAGCTTAAAATTTAAGTTGAAACAAAAAGCGAAGCCAAGACCAAAGTTTTTTTTTGAACGACGAAGCCAAGACCAAAGTTGTCCGGCAAAGCTCTGTCAGGCCGGCGCAAAGTTCATCCAGAACTTCGAATCTCAAAATAATACTGTTCTTTCCGTCATCCATGCAATGTTTTGGCATGTTGTACACAGAAAAAAAAAACACTGATCTCAGTTCTTACTCGTTAGCTGCACACGCTAAATCCACCCACAAAACGTCAAGTTCAGAGACTGCTTTTATGATCTCCTGAAGTTAGTAAACAAGCACGGAAGATATCTGCATGACAGCTTCGAATATGTACTGCCCTCAAAACAAGTTATGAACAATTTTTGCTTGCCACTCAATAGTTGCTTTGCAGTACGAGATAAAAAAAATGCTGTGATATCTCAAATTACTGAAAAAGCACTGCATGTGATTCTCTCTGGAGAAAAAAAAAGCGTATCAGCAACGAATTTAGTATGTGATTAACTGCAGCGAGCATCATACGTAGAGTACAATAACAACATGAAACAGAGTATTTGACAATCAAAGCAAATAATGATATGTACTCATTAAAGGGCTTTAACTAGTGACAATCAAAGCAAAAAAAAGACACTCCAGTGTGACATAAATAAAATATGACCTCGCAAAAAAAGAATTAAAATGTATGAAAATCAAGTATAAAACTTGTTATTTTATAAGTAGTATAGATAGCACCAACAAATATTTAGTATGAACATTCAATAACAACCTTAAACCATTTATTTAGTTTTTAAATTTAAGCATGTGAGAAATTATTGGTGTTCGGAATTTTAAAGGTATGAGCGAACTTTGTTATAAACACTAAATATTTATAACCAGAGTGAGCACAAGAGTACATAAAACCAAACATAGGGGTATTTTTAATTATAGCAACTAAAAATCTTCTAAAATTCCTGCTCGGTCAAACCAAACACAATTTTGAATTGAGTTTCAGGAAGTCCAAGCATTGGGATATTTTTAATTTGAGTATTAGACTAAAGTTTAAATAAACCAAACACATAGTATGTATTTCGATCCGTTGTCCTCAATAAACCAACTTTTGTATTTTTTTCTGATTGGGAGCAATTTCATTCGATTAGTATTTTTAGATACGGCACCATTTACGTGTATATGTGTCGTACATGCATACCCAGGCCTTAATTTTTAGATTTGCTTTCTCGTTTTCTCCCAAATTCTGTTGGTGTGTCAGACAAACATCCTGTACTACTCCCTCCGTTCTATTTTAAATGTAAATATGAGTTTCCGTGTTCAACTTGATCGTCCGTCTTATTTAAAAAATATTATAATCAGTATTTTTTATGAGATGATAAAAATCAATAGTATTTTACTCGTAACTTATGTTTTAATTTTTTTTTAAAAAAAATAAGATAAACAATTAAAATTAGACGCAGAAAACAATAGTTATATTTAAGATGGGACGAATGGAGTATCATATATCCTAGGATTGAGGAATGGTCATTTATAATTTAGAAGCGCTCCACTTATCACCTCGGCTATGTAAACTCTACTGGAGTAGCCGTAAGCAGGATACGGTTGCAATATTATTCCAATTACAGTATATTAAATATTTGGTCATATACCTCCGTTAGAATTGAGGATTTTTCCTATGTCGTCAATGCGATCACAAAGAGGTTATTTGATCAAATTTTGTCGATAGTAAACAATGTATTTAGTAAATTTTGTCATTATCAAACTGTGCTCACTGCTCCTGCTCTCTCTATATATAATCCGCCGAGGACGATGCACCGGCAGCAGCTAGCGCGCGGTACGGTAGGCACCAGCTATACAGCGCGCCACACACAACAATGGCCGGCGCTACCGCTGCCGCCGTCTCCTCCTCCTTCCTCGCGCTCGCGTTGCTCTCGCTCTGCGCCGCGGCCGCTGGCGGCTCGCCTCAGCTGGACGCGGAGGCCGCGCGGCAGCAGGAGGCCGACCGCGTGACGAGGCTGCCGGGGCAACCCGCCGTGCGGTTCGCGCAGTACGCCGGGTACGTGACGGTGAACGAGACGCACGGCCGCGCGCTCTTCTACTGGTTCTTCGAGGCCACCGCCGCCGCCGACAAGAAGCCCCTCGTCCTCTGGCTCAACGGCGGTACGTAATACTAGCACTCGACACACAATTAACCACTTCTACCACCAACTGCCATTTGCCTTTGCTCCACAAAATTTGTGTGCGCATTAACTCGGTATTAATCACTCCCTCTGTTTCACAATTTAAGTCATTCTAACATTTCTTATATTTATATTGATGTTAATTACGAATGAAGATAGAATGGCGATCTCACTTTTTTCTAACGGAGTGTTTTAAGGAAAATTCGAAGTTCCGAAATGTTCTAAAATTATTTTTAGTGCGAAATTTTGTGTGCCAGGTATCTTTAATATTAAAAAGTATGATACCTTTTTACCTTACGTAAGAGAGAATTTTTTTACTTCTTGAGAAAGTATCTGGAGGTACGAAGATTTTACAGCAAATTTTATACTAAAAAGAGTAGTACGTCTAGTATCTTTTTAAGGATGATAAAATTACCCTAAGAACTTAAAATCGCTGGGTGTTAAAGGTTTTCTGGAGCACAAAAATGATACTGGGTTTTCTATAAAAATGTTGCTGGGAATGATCTAATCGACTAATCCTAAGATGTGATCTTCTCGTTACCTCTAAAACTCAAACTAGACATTTCTTCTTTAATGTTTTGAAGTATATATACATTGATGATATCGTAGTGATTAAGAGGCTCGGGTAGAGATGACAATATCAGTATGTGTGAATTGTGACATGTCGTAAGTGAATGCATGTTTCAAGTGTCTATCATAGTACAATCACCATGCCCAACTAACCAATCAATTAATCAGCATTTCAAGCGAAAAGAGGAGCCATCTGCTATCCCATCAAATGGTTGTCCTCCAGCTAGCATAATTCACTATTGGCAGTTTCATGGAGTAATAGTCTGTATGCTATTATAACTAACTCAAGTGAAGTACCTACTTTAGTCACATACTCCTACTCCCTCCATCTTAAAATATATAAAAGATTTTGGTTGGATGAGACACATGATAATATTATGAATATGGACAGAGAGCCTATTCAGATTCGTAATACTAGAATATATCTTATTCACCCAAAATCTCTTATATTTTAGAACGAAAAGAGTACACCTTAATTGCGTAGAGTCTCTTTCAATGGCTAATGTACAGTCGACTTATCACATTTATTTGACCAACTTGCATAACATTGCCAAACAATATTCAGCCACACGCGTAACCCAGCTCCGGCCGTAGCTTTGAGCCAGGTACGCCATTGTCAGTGATCACCGGATTCAGAATTGGCTATTGCTCACAAAAACTGGCCAGAATATTCCTGTGCAAATTGAAGCCTACGTAACAAAAAGAAATATTAGTTAGTTAGTCTACAACTCGTCGCCTTCAATTGGCTGTGTATCTTAGTTGCAGAGGCTGGTGATGTAATTCATCTTTTTTATCCTTTTTTTAAAAAAATGTAAATTGTCTCAAAAAATTTATTGTCTAAAACTCTTCAAAAATAAAATTACTATCAGAAAATCTGAAAAGAAAATCATTGTCTGCACCATAACGGTTCAGATGCTAAAACTAGTTTAGGAGGCCAAAACCGGGCGTTCCCCTGAACGGCTTCCAAAAACCTGTGATTGAGGCAGCGTTCGTTCTGGGAGATTGGAGATAGAATGCACATTTTTTTCCGCGTCACGCTTCTTAAACTATTAAACGGTGTATTTTTTATAAAAATTTTCTATAGGAAAGTTGCTTTAAAAAATTATATTAGTCCATTTTTGAAATTGAAATAATTAATACTCAATTAATCATGCACTAATAGCTCACCTCGTTTTACGTATCTTCCCAATCTTCTCTATCTCCTCTTTCTCAAACTCAGCCTGAAACCCTCCAATGTTCACTCTATCCGAATGAATCTCATCCAACAGCGCATATTGTAATTATTCGTTGCATATGTCAACATCTCATCTCCGTGTTTCTCTTTAGAAAAAAATCAGAACGAGAGTAACAAAACACAACTAGAGGACACATACATATGTAGCTGCTCTGAGGCGCCGTCCCAGTCGAAAGCGCCGGAGACGAAGAGTTGGAAAATTGAAGGGTTGGAAAGTAACTAGCTAGTTTGTTCTCTTTAGGAGAAAGTTTGCACGGTCCAGAGTATAATTTGTGGTGCCTCAGTTTTTTGCTATATGAGATAAGTTAATCTACTAGATAGAGAAGGCAGGATTAAGTTTTGAATTGAGTTCAGTGTTTGTCCCAGTTCAATTATACTACAGACCGAGCCCCATTCACCTCCAATTTGAAAAATTAGCCAAATACACGTTCAAGTTAGCACAGAACAAGTCTGACGAGGTCCACCACTGTCACTGTGGCCTGCTCATCCTCACGAACGTACCGGTGAATCCATCCGCTTGATCGATGAGCTAGCTCGCTAGCCAGACGGATTTGCTGTCCAGCCAAGAGCATATCGTACTCTCCTAGCAGCTGGTCCAAGACAAGCCGCCCGGGGACCCCCCACGATATGGACTGCATGAATACCCCCGTTCGATCGAGAAGGATGGGCGCGATCCATGCGAGCTAGCTGCAGCAGCAGCTAGAGAACGAAATGCTGCTGGATTTCTGCATTTGGACTGGTTGCTGGTAGCAACCAGAGGGATAGCCAATCCTGCTTGGCATGGTCAACACGAGCCAGGCTAGCAGCTAGCTTGCTCCGGGAACAAAGGGAGATCCACGCAGCCAATGGGGCCTCGCGGGTGTCCGTTTCCCGGCGATAAGCTGATCTTCCGGCACAATTCACATCCTCATCGGGATCTGAATTAAGCCGCGCGGTTTTTGCCAGCATCTGAAGCAAAGTGGCAGAGGTGGTCTGGGGGCTTATATCATTTTGCTTGCTTGCATCAGTTGAGTTTTTTGGTTGCACTCAATCAGAAGGCGTCGAAGCATCTGTGATATGTCAGTCAGAACCTAGTAACGTTGAAAATTCTATGTAGTTATGGTTGTTAGTTGGGATTTGTTAGGAAAGAACAATTACACACCATCCGACAAAGTCCGATTAGTGGTTAGGAGAGACACTTACTGTTCTTGCGCTCTCTTCTTCTTGTTGTTGTTGTTCTTTTTTTTAAAGGAAACTTGGCCCTGTTGTGTGCAGTATTAACCTATTATTTAATATTTTTAGAGGAGACCAAAACAAGCTTGTTTAGGTCTTGTTTTAGGAATTTATGGTAGCTACGGTTTCTTTCAAAACTAAAACTTTTCATAAATAGTCTAATTTTTATCTAGGTTTTAAAAATATGTAGTTATATAATTTAGAAAATAAATAGATAGAATTTATAGCTTTTCTAGATTCTCACCAGCTAAATTTTTTTACCAATTACTTCTTAAAATTCTAAAGGTCAACAAAGAGGTTGGCTGTGTTTAGAGGTGAAGGTTGGGGCAACCTCCATCTCTTCGCACGTAATATGAAACGATCCATTAGCGTATAATAATTAAGGATTAGTTAAAACAAACTTAACAAATGAATTAACGTAATTTTTTTAAATAACTTTTCTACAGAAAATATTTTTAAAAATGTACATATAGTTTGGAAACGTACACGTGAAAAACGAACAACCGTCAGCTGTTGGTGCCGCCGATTCCCTTTTACCCACATATATAGCTCAGAGCAAGCTTCCAGAGACTAAAAGAGTAAAAGGGTAGAAAAGTTCACTCGTCGTCGCCTTCTGTTTCTGCCTATATGGAAGTTGGAACCGCACTACGCGTACGTACCCATCGACCCGGAAAGGCATACGGAGCACGACTGCACGGGGGTGCTCGCTAGCGCACGGCCGCACGCACGCACGCACGCACCGTATCACCAACGGTCCACGTAGTATCATGTACATGGAGACAAGAAACAAAGCGGGTCGGTCGGTATGGCGCCGCTTTCACGCGCGACCGAGGAGGACGGACGCGCACACCGGGCCACCGGCCACCAATCATCGCTACTTCTATAGCGAGCAGTGGCGCGCTGAGGCGGAGGCGTACGCTACTACACACCGCTGGCCACTGCTGCATGCTACACGGGCGGGGACCAGCTAAGCAAAAGCATGCGCCACCACCGGCCGCGCGTCGTGACACGGCCACCACCTCGCGTGCCCGATCGAGCCCAACCCGCGGGCGCGCCCCACCACGGAACGGATCGAAGCTACTACTGCCGCTGCCTGCCTTCCCTGCCTGCCTTGCCGGCCGGGGAAAATATCTGAAACGACGGTACGCGAGCGCCCACGGGGGCCACGGCTGTGCGCGCCTGTGCCGGTGGCCCGGTGCTGGATCTCACCGGGCGCGCGCGTGGCTGCGTACTGTGCCGCGCGCGGAGTCACCCATGCACGCCGTGAACTGGTCGAATGAGATGGATCACGTTCACGTGCAGGCAGGCAGGACGCCGGAAAGGGATCGGGAGCGCGAAAGTGAGCTGTGTCTAAGCTCGGTTTCTCGTTAGAAATGCGCGAATAATTCGGTCCATTAGCTAAGCTAGCTGGCTGCTGCTGCTTCCGCTGTGGTGTGGCCTATGACTGGATGGCGACCCGTGCCGTGTCGTACTCGTGCTCGTGATCGCGTCGTTGTCTCTCGCGCGGGATGGACACGACTGATCTACTGGTCTCTGCAACGTTTTAACGGTCGACGTTCACCATGCATGTGAAGTTTCTTTTTTTTTTCTCTCTTTTCGTTCGTGATTATGAGCTAGTAGCTTAAAAACCCTGTGTGTAATTCTTCGTCAGGAGTGTGTACTGAGTGTTTGAGTTAGGATGACAAATGTTGCTGTTTTTGCTGCAGGGCCTGGGTGTTCGTCTGTTGGGTATGGAGAAGCGGAGGAGCTCGGTCCATTCTTGGTGCAGAAGGGCAAGCCGGAGCTAAAATGGAACAAGTACTCGTGGAACAAAGGCACGTACTGCTTGTTCATGCCAAACCCTGCATTCTGTTAGTCTGTCACTGACTCCTCGCAATGAACAGGGGTTCAGAGTTTTTTTTTTTGGCACAACTGAATGTTCACTGTTAAAAATCTGCAGAGGCCAATCTGATGTTCCTGGAGTCCCCTGTGGGTGTCGGCTTCTCATACACTAACACAAGCTCCGATCTGCAGCAGCTTGGCGACAAGATCACCGGTAAATTAACCTCTACATCAACAACAGAATACTCTGATAAAAAAAAGGGGTCAATTTTGGATGATCCAAACAGTATCTGAACTCGGATTGCCATGCACGCAGCTGATGATGCTTACATCTTCCTGCTCAACTGGTTCAAGCGCTTCCCTCAGTACAAATCTCACGACTTCTACATCGCTGGAGAGAGCTACGCTGGTAACTGAACTGATACACATACACACTTCAGCATCTAGCTTCTGAAAAAATCGTGATGCGAGCTCATTATTCCCGGATTGCGTTATTGTCAGGGCATTACGTTCCACAGCTTTCGGAGAAGATTTTCGACGGCAACAAGCAAGGCCCCAAGGAGAACTACATCAACTTCAAGGGTTTCATGGTAGCTACACAATTCTGCCTCGAACTAATACTGATCTCATACAATTTTATTTCTTCGATCACGTCGTCTCATTACTCTGACGCAGATAGGGAATGCCCTGATGGACGACGAGACGGACCAGACGGGCATGATCGACTACGCCTGGGACCACGCCGTCATCTCGGACCGGGTGTACGCCGACGTCAAGAAGTACTGCAACTTCAGCATGGAGAACGTGACCGACGCGTGCGACAGCGCGCTCACCGAGTACTTCGCCGTGTACCGCCTCATCGACATGTACAGCCTCTACACCCCCGTCTGCACCGAGGTCTCGTCGTCGGCGGCGTTCGGCCAGCGCCAGGTCGCCGTCCACGGCGCCGCCCCAAAAATCTTCTCCAAATACGTGCGTAGGCAACTCATCGGCACACAGAACGATCACATTTTTTCAGAGAGAAGAAACAACATGATTTTTTTTTGGTGTCATTTTGTAACAGCATGGGTGGTACATGAGGCCGGCGGGGTACGATCCGTGCACGTCGGATCACGCCGAGGTGTACTTCAACCGGGCTGACGTGCAGGAGGCGCTGCACGCCAACGTGACCAATATCGGCTACAACTGGACGCACTGCAGGTGCAAACAATAAGCGTTTGCAACCTCTGTTCTCTTTTGAGTCTTTGAAGCTTTGAGTTGACAGAATCGTTTTGTGACGGTGTGTTTGTTGCAGCGACGTGATCGGCAAGTGGAGAGATGCTCCCTTCTCGACTCTCCCCATCATCCGTAAGCTCGTCGCCGGCGGCATCAGGGTCTGGGTTTTCAGGTGAAAAAAACATCCTTGTAGTATACTTCAGCATGTCTGAACAACGTGTACACAGCAATAGATGCATGGCGTTTGAATTGAGCTGACAATGAGTTTCACTGGGTGCAGCGGTGACACCGATGGAAGGATCCCCGTGACGTCGACGAGGCTCACCCTGAACAAGCTTGGGCTGAAGACGGTGCAGGAGTGGACGCCGTGGTACGACCATCAGCAGGTAATTAAACCATCCTACAACAAAGAAATATTCAGAAACAGGTCGTTGTGAGCATCAAACTGAACCATTTATGCAGGTTGGAGGATGGACGATCCTCTACGAGGGCCTGACGTTCGTGACGATCCGCGGCGCCGGGCACGAGGTTCCCCTGCACGCGCCGAGGCAGGCGCTCAGCCTCTTCAGCCACTTCTTGGCTGACAAGAAGATGCCTCCGACGGCGTTCCCCTAGTCGCTCGCATGCAGTCTGCCTTCTTCAACGATGGCGAGGAACGGGCGTCGTGCGCCCACTAGGTTGTTTTCCAGCGATACCAACTGATCAGGAAATTTTCTTTTCTTTGGTCCAAGACTCCAAGTCATGTAACACAGTGGAAATTCGATTGGAACAATCGATAACAATAAAATCATATATAGTGTTGATTGATTTCGATGCTCGCAATACAACAACGGGTGATCTGTATGTGTGCGGCGTTAATTAAACTGAACACCAGCAAATATGAAAGGAATTCTCGGCGTGACAGCATCATAGAAGATTAGAGTAGTGCGGCTCTAACCTGGCGTTTTATAGGAGCCGTATGGCGATTTCAGAAACATACAGGACAAGTATTCTTCTTTTATCCGGACAGGAAAAAGAGGAGAAGTAATTGAACAATGGACAGTGCATTAGAAGTACCGAACCCAGTTATATTTATGACATCATATAGACCAAGCATTACAATGCATGTTTTTCTTCTCTTCACTCCAGGGCATACATCCATAAGAGTGAGGTAAGAAAATAAGTACCAGATGTTCACATGGTGACAGTAAGAGTTACACTTAACAGAGCAAATCACATGAATCAGCCATGCCTTCGCTTGGCGCATATTTCCTTTTGCACCCTGGAGTTAACCTTTCTTTGGCATGGCAGCCAACCTAGTATACATTCTTGCCATGGATTGATAGCCTCTGATGTCGCCTGAGCGCAGGAGGTTGCCTATATTTACGGAAGAAAATTAGCAGAAACTAAGATAAGGATTAAAATATCACAGCAGGCCTCTTTTCAAACAACCAAGTAAAAAGTATGAAAAAGTAATTTAAACCGCTATATAATCAATCAGAAATCGGACTTGCAAAATGCTTGAAGCGACAAACTGTATATGATCATCAGATGATGAAATTACACAAGAGCTCCCTAAGTTATCAAATACAGTAATTCATAATTTTGACCTATGATAATCATATTTTGGATGCAATGTGACCAAAGTGCCATCTGAAAAAATCTCAAACATAAACCGTGAGGCGGTGAATGGGACCAATACAAATTTACTGGGAAAATTACATTCTAATTCATAATGAGGAACTATACAATATAAGTGACACTGCACATCTTAGCTCATTAGTATAAATGCTAATAACCAACAATGAAATATTTACAAGGCAATTATTCAATCCATATTGCGTAAAATGGATCAGCAGGAATGGTTTCTCTGACCGCCTCAAAATTAAATATTGTAACTACATAAATCAGTTTCTTCTGTTGTGTGCGGAAGATTAGGACATGTGGATGATGAGGCTTCCCAGGAGAGTAGGCGGCATGGAACTATGAGGCATAAAAAGAATGAGGACAAGGAACTTGAAACTCGCGATGATGTAGCAAACACCTTTTAATGGCCCTTACAAGTTGGACTCTAACTGGGAAGAGATAACAATTGGAAAGATATACTATTTCAATGTAACGAACTAATCTAATCAGCATCCCAAGCACACCCGCCACCCGAGGTGGACTCAGCCTCGTCCTGGGACTCATTGGCCCTCGCCTAGGACAACGGTGATACTGGAGTCTGACCATATCAATTATCACGTAATTCCTTTGGTTATATAGAGGGGCTCCATTAGAGTAAATAGCCAAGTTTTTCTCCATATTTTTTAACTGGCTAATGTACCATGTGACAATAATTAGAACCAAATATTTTCATGTCTCAAACTACTCCAAAAAGATCACATCATGGAGTGGTTGAGGCCTCGAAGATGGAAATCTTCATGCACCATAGCTTGATTCAGTGAGAGCATGAACATCTATTACTTTCACATTACAAAATAATGGCTGAACTATATGTGGCAGAATTAGTAGGAAGGTGGAGCTACCTGAGTCACAGTTAAGTGGACTGTCTGGTTCAGGATGGGCCATCAATGCAATTATGGCTCTACAAACGGATTGTAGTGTCCATGCTGGGCTCCACGCATTCTTCAAGATATCCAGGCAAATCTCACCTGTCTGGAAACACAAACAAGGTAAAAAGAATGATAACTGAAATTACTCCTTCAATTCTGTTAATTCAGATGTAACAATATAGAAGCGACTTGACAAAAACAATAACAGGAAGAGCACAGTTGAGTCTACACAGTAAATTCTGTCATGTTAGTACATTCAGATTGTTACAGGAAAACCTGATAAAATGAAGAAGATGACAGCAACTTCATATTTACATTCTCACCAACACTTGAAAGAGACAAATGCCTTCAAATAGGTCAAATTTCCTAAAGTAAAATGTACGCAGAGAAGGCAATGCAGAAGTAACCTTGAAATGCACATTCGGGTGGAAAATTTTGGTCAAGAAGCGAACTTGCGGAGGAAGGAGAGGGTATTGCTCAGGAATAGAGAATGCAAGTTGAAATACACCACCTTCAAAAGGTGTCTCCGAAGGGCCCTAACAACATATACAATCAGAAAAGGCATTAGTTAAAAACTTATATTGCTGTTTCTAGCATCACCTTGCAAGTTGCAATATAAAAACCACCTTGATAAGAGCAGTCCACTTGAATATGTTTGAATCATCGCAGATTAACTGGATATCTGGATCAGCTGACTTTTCTCGCTGCACCTCCTTATACTCCTTAAAGAGCCTAGCTCTAGATGCCTTTCGATAGAAAATATTTTGAAGACATTCAGATAGCATGTTAGGAACCAAACTAAAGGAGCAATTCACATACTTCCTCCGTTTCACAATGTAAGTCATTCTAGCATTTCCCACATTCATATTAATGTTAATGAATCTAGATAGATAGATATGCCTAGATTCATTAACATCAATATAAATGTGGGAAATGCTAGAATGACTTATATTGTGAAACGGAGGGAGTAGTAGTTAAGCTCATTCCAGTTAACAATAATACTGAAAGTCTCTTGGACATGATCTTCCAAACATTTATAAGTTTTATTGTAGTGAAGTAAATCAAGTTATATAATTGAGCCATTAGTAAAAGTAAGGGATGTACACAAACTTTTGCTAGTGTATGACGACAAGAAAGTATGGGTGTACAAAAACCAGTACTGGTCACATTGGTAACCGTCGGCAAAGCTCTCCAACTACCGAGTGCCAACTCTTCCATGCAAACACGCGAGCCCTATACTAGGCGCCAAACCGTTTACTAAAGGAAAAGATGAGTACAGTTATTGCTGCCAAATGTGGATTGTCCTATTAAATGTTACCACCTTAGCATGGACGTCTCAGTGAGACCAGTAAAACATAACCCGAATAATTAGTTGATTAAGAGTTGGCCATCACATTACATACCTAACTAACTATACAAGAAATGTGCAACCAAAGATGAATTAGAACTGACCTGCATCTGGTCTCCTCTCTACTGTTGACTGATATGACAAAGTGTTTCTGTCAAAATGTAACCAAGAGCATAAATAGAAAAAGTTAGAACGGTTTGATTGAGGAACCTTGATTAGCTAAATTGAAATAATCATCATTCACAACTGAAAAGCTAAACAGATAGTAATCGTAATTCCCTGTCCGCTCCATCAATAAATTCATAACAGACTCAATTTCTAGTTATCGCAAACCCAATCTGGTTCTCTAAATGTAATAATAGCCTAATCCAATGTCTTCGAGATACATTCCCTGCGATACACCATCCATACGTTAAAGCTGCTGTGTGCTGTCTACATGTAGAGCGCTCTAAATATAATAAACGAAACCCCGTGTATACACTACTAATCCAAATGGTTCCTACCCCCCATCTCCCCCAATCTGGAGATTTTGCCGACGGGGATCATGGCAGCAGTCGGCGAGCCGCACTGCCCTCCGGGCTCCCGATAACCCAACAACTCCCGGAAGGCACTGGGCCTCCGACCATGGCTTCCACCGCAAATCCACACCAGATATCAGCTTCGAGAGTCTAATACAACAATTCCCCCCACCCGGCAGCCATCGCTTTCCTCAACGCCGCCAAATCCCTAGCCGATCTACCCATGAACGACACATCACGGATACATCGGAATATCGCGGTGGCAAGGGAAGAAATCAAGCGTACGTACCAGCTCGCAGCTCCCCTCCCCGGAGCTCGATCCCGGCGTGGGGAAAGTCGCGTCGTCAGAGGGACTCGGACCGGACAGGAGGACGAACGGGAAGACGCGCAGCCGTTGGCCCGTGGGGAAGAAGTTATGAGGAGGAAGACGACGTGACGGGGAGGTGGGTGAGTCATGGGCTGACCCAATAACAGATGGGCCAGATTTCCGGCCCAAGACCCACCACCTTCTTGCGGAGCAATCCATCCATCCAGTCTCTTTCTCTCTCTCCTCTTCTTCCTTGGCGAGTTGTGCTCTGCCTCCCTCTCCCTTCCCACGCCGTCTCGCCGCAATCGCTCGCTCGGTCGCCTCCTCTTCCGCCGCGAGACACGAAGAGCAGCAGCTCACAGGTAGGCCTGCGCGTCGGCGGCCATGGGAGACAGCCAGTACTCCTTCTCCCTCACCACCTTCAGGTATGTGCTGCCTTGCGCCTCCCTCGCCCGGAGATCGGGCGTGATCTGGTGCGGTTTCGGTTTCGTCATCTGTGGTTTTTGTGGCGATTTCGTTTGCAGCCCGTCGGGGAAGCTGGTGCAGATCGAGCACGCGCTCACCGCGGTCGGATCCGGCCAGACGTCCCTCGGGATCAAAGGTGCGTCCCGTGAAGCAATCCCTTCTCTATACTTCTATTGCGTTATGAGAATCGAGAAGGGGAGGGGAGGTTTGAGATTTTGGCTGGTTCGGTTCACATGACGAAGTGGCGCTTGTTGGGGATTTTGCACTTTTCGCATAACTTTAGGTCGTTGCAGAGCTTTTATTTGTTCTGGAGACCTGGAGTGTGAAGTTTGCTACGGCTTAGGTTACTAATAGGTGCCATGTTACTTGCATCTGCTATTCTGCTTTAGTGATACTTGGGAATTTTGTAATGTTTGCTTCGTTTTCGCTTACAAATGCTTGTGGATTCCATGGAAAATCATTATTAATCTACATAAATGTATGTCTTGTAACAGCAATGGCAAGTGCTCCCCTTTATAACCACATAAGAAATACAAGCTGCTTGGTTTCATCTGTGATGATGAAGTTTTCTATGCCAATTTACGGCGTTGAATGTATATGCTGACCTAGTTTTCCCATTAGTAGTTGTATGTGTGTGCAGTCTGATCTAGTGCCTATTAGGGTTTGGAAGCCCATTTTAGTATCAGTGCAAAATTCTAATTTGTTTGCCCTGTCAACGTCCACCTTACTGGTAGGTTTACATACCCTTAAAATCAGCTTTTGTTGCCACTTGTCAGTATTTATGCAATTTAAAGTCTTGGGGTTTTAGCCCATGAATTTTGTTTTGGTGTATGAAAAATTGAAAGAAACTATTTGACATGCGTTCTTCACGCTGATAGATGTAATTGTTGTATGTAATAAATTTGTGGTGTAGAACATACTGCATATGTTTTTACCAGATTGTTCTATCATATGTTTTTGTGTAGTTACTGCTCAGAGACTACAGTCTGTTGATTCTCTTCAGTTCCCTTTTAGCCTAGTTTATTGATTCTGAGGTATATTTGTTATGTTTGCAGCTGCTAATGGTGTAGTTATCGCCACTGAGAAGAAATTGCCTTCTATTTTAGTCGATGAAACATCTGTAAGTCTAACATCACTCTTAATGCTGAATTCCTCTTTTAGTGAGTTGCGACATGCTATTCGTTGTTTGTTTCTCAGAAGCACTAATACATAGTTATATGCAAATTCAGGTGCAAAAGATTCAGTCATTGACTCCGAACATTGGAGTTGTCTACAGGTAACCTTTTACATTGGCTTCATTGTTGGAATACATTTCTATTTTGTATATATTATGGTTGTCATGTACATGCTATTGTGAGTTATTCCAACTTGTTATTCTATTAGTTATGTTCTTGATCCTTTATATGAGCACTAGCTGTGCTGTAAGCTTCTACAATTTTAGCAGTACATAGTTCACAGATGAGCTATTGTGTAAGAATATAATGGTAATATAAATAATTGGTTTGAACCGCCTGGTTTTAGTGAACAAGTGACACAGTTCGCCCTGAGAAATTTGCACATATTAATCTTCCCTAAAAAGGCACAAATTAAAAATATCTATCTTGCTCTCCAAACTTTGCAAGAGGATAAGTGCATTGGTATTTTACTGTGTCTTATAGTTATATGCACATCAGATTGCAGTAACTTTGGAAATCCATATCTAGACATTTGAGGCAACTTGGTGAATGAGCATGCAGATCTCTGGATTTTTGTTGATTAGCTTGTAAGGTATTTATAGTTTATCTATTCACTGGACTAAAGCATAAAAAATAGTTCTTCAATCCATCTGCAGCCTTGTACAGTGGTCTGAGAGAACAGCTGCATTCTGTCTTTAAATTATTTGTTAGTTTGTTACATCTCTCAGCTTGCTGCTGTTAATATCAGTTGCAATTCAATAATACATGTTTACTTACCTGTGCACTTCTTTCAGTGGGATGGGTCCCGATTTCCGTGTTCTTGTGAGAAAAAGTCGGAAACAAGCACAGCAGTATTATCGGTTGTACAAGGTGGTTTTTTACAGTTCATTTGATTTATACTTCAGATAACTATTGTATGTTTTGTAAAGACATATATTTTTCAATAAATTGCTATTTCGGATAGCATGCAATTTTTCATGTACGACAGTCATGATCTTTTCCATCATTTACTTATTTCTCATGATTGTTCTTCCTTTTTCTAATGCAGGAAACTATCCCTGTTACTCAGCTTGTCCGAGAAACTGCTGCTGTTATGCAGGAGTTCACACAGTCTGGGTATGCTACTTCAGAGTTTTCCATTTCTATCAATGATATTGTTAAATAATATATTCTTGCACTTGTTCGACCTAATTAATTTGTATGGATATATTTGTGGGATATTTTTACTATAACTTAACAGTACCATTCATTCAATATTGTATTCGATAATTCAGATGTTCAGTACCGAAAACTTTCAACATGTACATCACATTGATGTGTGTTGATGCAGAAGCTTGTTAATTGACCTGCTGGGAAGAATATATATGATCTGCTGTGTGAACTTCCACTTGGATTTTCACTGGATGGATAAAATTTTATTGAAATTGGGCCATTGAGAATTAAATTGCTAATGTAACCAAGCAAGTTGGGTAGTTTCATACCTGTAACACATAGGATTTTCCAGTCATTTGCATTTTATAATTCACTTTGACATCATTGAAACAAAAAAGAAAAAAAAACATCAGAGGAATAATTAAGACATACATCTTGTTATAAATCACATTACATGCTATGTGGTAGTTGGTTCTTATGTTGATTGGTGAATCCTGAAGTACAGTTCACTCCTTAAAGATATGAATATATGATGTAACCGAATTTCTGAGGCATGACTCACGGCCAACTTGTTTGTTGCAGTGGTGTAAGACCATTTGGAGTATCATTATTGATTGCCGGGTACGATGACAATGGCCCACAGCTGTATCAGGTATGCAGATAGCTGCGTGATAGGGGCTCTTTTTTGTTGCAACTGTTTCAAAATTAATGTGTACGTTGACCCTTGTCTCAATAATAAGCTGCAAAGTGTTGTTTGCACAAAGCATCTAATAGCAGATCACCACTATTAGTTGTGCTAGTTTTGTTCTTCTGGACTGAAATTTTACCTGTCAATTTGTCATATTTTGTTATGGTGTAAAATTGGTATAATGCCAGATGTGCTGTATTATTTCTACAGGTTGATCCCTCAGGATCATACTTCTCCTGGAAAGCATCAGCTATGGGGAAAAATGTCTCCAATGCAAAGACATTTCTTGAAAAAAGGTACATAGCATACCACTAATATTGTATTGTACTACACTCTGTTTTCCTCAATCTGATCAGAAATAAAGTGGATTTGTTTACGAGGATATCTTCTTTCCAAAGTTGTATGACTGCACTTGTACTGTTGTTCAACCTCTTTATGTCCTCATTTCAGATACACAGAAGACATGGAGCTTGATGATGCCATCCATACTGCCATTTTGACTCTGAAAGAAGGGTATGTCTTGTAGGTGCTTCTGTTTCTATTTCCGGAACATCCTTACTGAGTTACTGACTGATTCGGGGGTTGCAGATATGAGGGTCAAATCTCAGCCAACAATATTGAAATTGGAGTTATTCGATCTGACCGTGAATTCAAGTATGTCATACAGACTTGATCAAGCTGTTTTTTACTGCCACGTATATGCAATGCAACTTCTGTCTTGTGAACATGCCATAACAAGTTACTGACAAGTTACTTTCTGTACAAAATGCAGAGTTCTAACCCCGGCAGAGATCAAGGATTTCTTGGAAGAGGTGGAGTAAATTGTCTGTTGACATTTGATAGTTTACTGTTCTAAGTGACACTCTTGAGCCGTAGTCATGAGGCTTCTTGTCTCTTACCATTTGTCACTTAAACCTATTGTAAACTGATTTGCTTCAGTGATATGCATGAGATGAAGTGGTGGACCTACTTTTGAATCCCCATCGTAAACAAGATATTGTTGGGTGAATGTTGTATTTGGTTCTCTTCTAAGGAGGTATTTGGCGCATATATTGTGTCTCCTCCCGACATATCATTTGCCCTGACAGTACTTGTGAAACAGTCAAAACAGATCACGAAGGAATATCTTGGTTGAGTTTGCATCCGTAAAACATGTGCATGTCTGCGTTACTGCGTAGATGCAAAATAATATGAGCTGTTAAAACATATACAGGAAATAGCTCAGGCCCCATCGTAGTTTCCTCTGTACAGCATTTCAAATTTCAAATTTTAAAATTTGATTTTAAAGTTTTTCATAGAGGTTTATTTTTTTACATTAGCATTTATGCCACTAAGAACACGTATCCATAAATTATTATTATTTTGTTAATATGTCGTATTATCTGAATTTAGCTAAACGATGGGTAGAATTTCTTTAACGTGTACTCTAGTATTTCTTTAAAAAATTCGGTGTAAGGGTATAAAGGCTGATGTGTGAGTGTGCATGTATACATGTGCAAACTTCTCCCCTGGCCCCTACTCCCTCCGTCCCAAAAAAAAGGCAAACTGTGGGTTTCCGTGCCAACGTTTGACCGTCCGTCTTATTTGAAAAAATTATAAAAAAAATTAAAAAGATAAGTCACGCATAAAGCATTAATCATGTTTTATCATCTAACAACAATGAAAATACTAATTATAAAAATTTTTCATATAAGATAGACAGTTAAACGTTGGCACGGAAACCCACGGTTTATCTTTTTTTTGGGATGGAGGGAATATACTATAAGCAAATGGTTATCACTCCACTGAAAAAATACAGATAAAAATCTCCTGTAAAGTATGGAAAATATACAGAGTTAAAATCTCCTATATGCTAATAATTATAAAGTATACAAAATTAAAAGAAATTGTTAGTCAAGAAACATACGTAGGTGGAGGATCGAAAGAGCAGCCGGTACTCGGGTCGTCCACTCGTCCTCTTCCAATCAGTCGCGGCTGCCGCCGCCGCCGCCGTCGCCGTCGCATTCACCTTTTACAATCCGGTCCCCCCACCAAAAACACTCCTCGCGGATGGGGTTGTGCTCCCCGTCCACTCCTCGTCAGCTCCTCTCCACCGTCGCTCTCTTCGCCTTCGGCGCAGGCCTCCTCGCCTACGGCGTCCACCTCTCCTACGCCCACGTCGAGCCCCAGCGGGCGCGCACGCTCGCCCGCGACCAGTTCGTCCGCGATTACCTCAAAAGGAAGTACGACAAGTAGCACACGGCCTCCCCCCCTCCCCCCAACGAGATCCCCTTCCCGCTCAATTTCTTGGGAGGGGTGGGGGAGCGATGGCTTTGGCCCCCGCGAGCTCGGGCAGTGGGCCGGTGGTTACGGAGGTGGAGATGAACGCCGGCGCCGACCAGGGTGCCACCGGCACCGTGCGTGCCACCGTCGTGCAGGCCTGCACCGTGTTCTACGACACCCCTGCGACTCTCGGTGCGTTCTGCCATCTTCGTTTATGCTGTTGCTGCTGCTGCTGCTGCAGCTAGTATCACCCGCGAGGTGTTCGATTGTTTGTCTCGCCCGTGTGGCTGTTTGGATTAGGTGGTGCGCGCAAGGTGCTTGCTTATTTGTCTCGCCCGCACAGCGACACTAATTTACCCACACGCAAAACACCGGGAGTGAACTGAAACTGGGCAGGAAGTAGGATATCTCCGTGTGCGCCAATATTTTTATTTTTAGAAATAAGGTCTTACGACCCGGCTTATATTGAAAGCCAAACGGCTGTCTTACTGGGGTTACCTATCCAATCCCTCCCTCTAGTGGATTAACCGAACATGGCCTTAATGAGGTAATTAATGATTTATCTGCAATGATCCTATCTACCTAATCTAGTGGAGAATGAAACAAGTAAATAGTTCAATGGAATTAAAACTGTAAATGTATGATCATATGACATGTTACTTTTTATGAATAAAATCCTAAATAAACGGGGTAACGATATTATGCTAATTTCTTTAACTGCTTTGCACTGCAGATAAAGCAGAGAAACTGGTAGCTGAAGCAGCTGGATATGGTTCACAGATAGTTCTATTTCCAGAAGTCTTTGTTGGTGGTTACCCTCATGGATCTACCTTTGGACTGACTATTGGCAATCGATCTGCCAAGGGAAAGGAAGACTTCCATAAATATCATGCAGCTGCTATAGATGTGCCTGGTATTCTGAAATAGTTTAGTAATTAATATATCGTTGTCGTACGCTATGTTTATCGAGTGTTTCCAAACCAAGGTCTTTTGCTTTATCATTTTCATTTTTTTTTTAAAGTTCAGTGCTTTATTTTATTTAGGTTATCAATCTATTAGAAAAGACACTGCTATTATCTAAAAAAAAAAGAAAATACACTGCTAAATGTGAAGTATAAACCCTGAAATATCAATTTCAACCATGTTCCCTAAATTGTGAAAGGTAAAACAGAAAAAAAAATGATAAGGAGACCTAACTCGTGATGCAGATCCCAAGCTGATAATCATATATGATAGCTATGCATTAATGAATAAAAGCATTAGTAACCGCCCTTTTTTTTTTCTGTAGTAATGTTCAGAATTCGTGTTGATCATATCCATCTTAACTTTTTTTTTCCGTCAATTAATTCAGTTAAAATACGTCTTACATCATTTTTTAGCTATTCTCCGGTTCTCCCCACTTAATATCTAGCTTTCCTTGCTACAGAGGATATGCACTATGCAGTGCCCCTGCAAGACATTTTACCGACTTCTGTTGAATGCAGGTCCAGAGGTGACCCGCTTAGCTGCATTGGCTGGAAAATACAAGATTTTCTTGGTGATGGGGGTGGTTGAAAGGGTAGGGTACACACTATATAATACAGTGCTCTTCTTTGATCCTCTGGGGAAATACCTCGGGAAACACCGCAAGGTCATGCCTACTGGACTGGAACGAGTGTTTTGGGGGTTTGGGGATGGATCTACTATACCTGTTTATGATACTCCAATAGGGAAGATTGGTGCCGTCATTTGCTGGGAAAACAGAATGCCACTTCTCAGGACAGCAATGTACGCTAAAGGTATTCCTAGTTCTAGCAATATGATATGTTTCTCGACCTGAGCAAGTACTCTGGGTTAAAGTTATATCGATTGGTAATGCAAAGAAGTTAAGAGTTAAGACACCACAAAAGGGATACTAGGGTTGTTCATTTGTTAGACACTACTACCTTGAAAAAAAAAAGGAGAAATGTACTTTGAGTGACTCTGAAGATGCACCATGTATCATGTGCTTGAGTTTATATTTTACCTGAAGTATCTTCTACATTCATGCAGGTGTTCAGATATACTGTGCTCCAACTGCTGATTTCTCGCCTAGTTGGCAGGCCTCCATGACGCATATTGCCGTTGAAGGGGGATGCTTTGTACTTTCTGCAAACCAGTTTTGTCGCAGAAAGAACTATCCACCAGCGCCTGAATATACTTTTGGTGGCCTTGATGAAGAGCCATCCCCAGAATCTGTTATTTGGCCTGGAGGAAGTTCCATCGTCTCACCATCTGGAACAGTTCTGGCAGGTCCAAACTATGAAGGCGAGGGCCTCCTCACAGCTGACTTGGGTAAGAAACGTGGAACCTTCAAGTAAATTCCATGCTCACTTGTTGACTACTACATCCCAGCCCTTTTTTCATATGTAGTAGCAGTTGGTGTAGATGTATCCAGCTGTATTTGTGCAATTATTTCTACAGATATCAGATTATAACCCTCTGCCCAAAGAACAGTATTGTAACCGTGAAACACCACAAGAACACTAAAGAGAAATTGCATGGTATGTTTTGCAGACCTTGGAGAAATTGCTCGAGCTAAGTTTGATTTCGACGTCGTGGGACACTATGCACGACCCGAGGTGCTGAGCCTGACCGTGAAAACCGAATCAAAGCTGCCCGTTTCTTTTACTTCTGCTGCAGAGAAAAATTCTGCTGCAAAGAGTGACGGTATCTCTAGGACCTGATGGCCATTAATCTTCCATCGCGGTGTGCAATAAAATTGTCAGCTGGCCAGTGTTGGTATCACATGAATAATCTGTCTTTAGTTTCTTGTAAAGATTTGGAGACGATGCTTCCCTGATAAACAATTGGTGCCTATAGTGCTGTAATACTCGTCTGAAAATCGTGTCATGTTTCTTCCTCTTATTCGTTAGTGAAGACGTCCCAACTCCCAAATGTAGATTGCGATAACACAGTACTCAGTATTCAATTTCCAACAAATCATACAGTATTCTACATTCCATTTCTACCATCAGTTTCGCTGTGGCTAACAATTGTTCCAAATCTTATAATACGAATTCCATGCAAAAAATTGAAAGAACAATGTGCTACGTGGCAACACCGGTTTCGCGGGACGGCTTGATCCTGTTTGCGCACGTGCAGCGTGAAACGCTCGTGTGCGTGCGTGCAGCGGTTGTCCAGAAGGTCGTCCAGAAGTTTCTATTGATCGAGCTATTGATTGAGCAATTAGGGGCCTATTTGGATTGCTACCAAAAACATGCACTACCAATATTTTGGTAATTTGAATAGTAATTGTGTTTGATTTGGATTGAAGCCTATTCATTGGTAATACCTAATCTAGATTTGGCGTCATCTAGAACATTCTTCACTAAAATTTCACATTTTAACTCTATATTGGTAGCAAACCAAATATGATCAAGTACAATTTTACCTTACCAAAGTTTTGGTAGTGCCAAAACTTGTCTACATTTTGGCACTACCAAAAAATTGGTAAGGCAACAATCCAAATAGGCCCTAGGTCCATGGGAGCACAGCAGGCTATGTGATTTCTCGCGTTGCTGCTGTACGGCTGGCAAAGCTCAGGCAGCTATTGCTTCCTCCTACCACCGGATATTGAGGATTAAAGAAGTAATGATACATACTTGGTTAGAGACTAAAAGAGGATTAACAGGATGTAATCAAATCACCCACTAAAATTTCTACGTTGCAAACATCCATCCTTTTACAATTATTGTGTTTCCTTATTTTGTATCCGTATTCATGTGATTTATATTATTTCTTTCCTGTGTTTTTCTCTATGGAAATTATATAACCTTTTCTCTTTGGGGCAATTTCATTCTTACCCCTACTTTAATGTTTAATATTGATGTTGCCCAGTATTTTAGGGTTTTGTTTTTGCCCATGGTTTTTTGAAATAAAGATAAATTTAGCCCCTACTTTTGATGGACAGATTAACGATGTTAAATCTTTAGCGAGAAGGCATTCAATACCCTTACTCATGTTGCAAACTTCCCCTGTTTTTGTTCATGATTGAGAATTTGCCCACATTTAGCACATGAACCTTGCAAATTCGATAAACTTTTACTAATATGATAATTTTAACATAAATATCAACAAAAATTTGCTTCAAAATTTGACATCTTGAAAAAAACAAATAGACAAGTCAAGCAAATCTATTGCCTACCTGTGCCAAGCTGTCGTCGTCGCCTCCTCTCACAAACCGCCGCCACCGTTGTTGCCTCCTCTTCCCACCGAGCCGCCGCCACCTCCTCCCCACGTCGAGCCGCCACCATCACCTCCCCGCGCTAAGCTGCCACTGTCGCCTCCTCCTTTCATCGAGCCACCACCGCCGTCGTTGACCTGTTGTCCTCCTCCCCGTCGCCTCCTCGACACGTCGAGCAGCCGCACCTCCTCCCTACGCTGATCTACAGCAGCCGCCATTGTCCTCCTCTCTACCATGGCCTCTTGTGCAATGCCTAGCCTCCTCCTACACACTGCAACTGGGTTGGGTGGCCTGCACTTGCTCGAGTTGTCCCCGTTGCCTGGCCGGCCCACGGACACTGCCGCCACTGTTTCACAACGGGGATTCGGGTTCAGGAAGGGAAGAGTTGATGCCAAGTGCCCAAGCCTGGAGGGACACCAAGCGGTACTTGGATATTTTATAGGGGTAAAAGGGTCAATCAATAATTTAAAAAATCGTTATCTCTTTCTTTCTCTAATTCTTTACCGCACTAAGTCCAATCCCACTCACTTCCATCAAAAACAGGGGTAAACGCCTCATTCATTGAAAAAAATAGGGCAAAAAACAACAACCCTAAAATGTAGGGTAAAATCGGTATTGGATATCAAAGTAGGGGTACAATTGTACAAACAAAATTGTCCCTTTCTCGTTTCTCCCTCGGTCCAATGCAACCTATATATGTCTTGTGAGGGCTAATTTGAAACAAAGATTGAGGGATGAATAGGAAAAACATAGAATTCTGACAAAAAAATCAAGCGCAAAACAAATAATTATAAAACACATAAAAAATATATGAAATAATCATTTGATTGGACCATACGAAAAATGCAAGAATTAGATGAGAGAGATAAACTCATAAGAGACTTCGCATGATATTGAACCTCATGTTAAAAATACTCCAAAACTTGTATGAATTTGGGCATTCCTTAGAAATTTGATAAGACTCAATAGTTTTCAATAATCCTTTGGTTCAAAGAATCATATAGAGAAATTTCCTATAGCAAAGTTTATTGTTTCTATACAGAATAAAAGTTCCTATATTTTTCTATATTTTTCTTTCAAGTAAAGGGGCCCTAATTAGTTACTCCACTGAAGTCGAATGAGCTGGGTTCACTTTACCATGCGTGGGTTTTTCTTGTCCGTCTTAGTTCAAAACGGCCACTACAACTTGTTCAGTAATCTTGGTGAAATAATCTCTCCTACTCCTAGTCCAGTTTTTATGCACTAATGAATTTCTCTATTTTCGTAGTATTCCATACCAAGAACAATACAGATATAAAAACTTGACTAAATTGCACTTTAGTCCACCTTTTATTACCCAAGTTTCAATTTGGACCACCCTTAAACCTATCTTTTCAATTTGGACCGGGTAAATTTACCATTGTTGCGGTTTGGACTACTATAAACAACTTTTCTCGTCATGACTAACTTCCCTTTCGGCAAACATATGAACCATATATAGAGGAGATCGGCCGTATACTAAAGCTGATGTGTTTAAGGTCGTTGATTGCACGAGAAAAAAAATCGTTCATGGTGGTTCAAATTGCAACAATGGCAAATTTATCCGGTCCAAAGTGAAAAGATATGTTTAGGTAATAAAATGTGGTCTAAAGCGTAATTCACTCAAACTTGAGAAACTTTATTTGTAAATTATTTTTTTCTTCGTTCACGTGCCAAAGAAGAGAGGGAAAGAGGAAACGGGAAAGTTACAGCCATGGAAAAAGGCTGGAGAAGGTGTAGGGTCTAGAAGCATCCGTGATGGATTTCGCTCCCTCGTCTTCTGCTCCTAGTCACACTTGACAGTTCAGCTTCAGCTCCTCCCCCACCATCTCCCTCCTCGCCGCCGGCCCCCATTTCTCCCGCGTCCACTTCGAGCGGCGGCGCGCGTGCCGTACCGATGGCTATGGTCCCCTCGGGCTCGGGCGGTGGGCCGCCGGTGATTGCGGAGGTGGAGATGAACGGCGGCGCCGACTCGGGCGCCGCCACGGTCAGGGCCACCGTCGTGCAGGCCTCCACCGTGTTCTACGACACCCCGGCCACTCTAGGTAAGCACAGCACACGTACGCTCAACGCTCGTGTGTGCCCCCCCTTGCTTTGGTGAATTTTCTTTTGTTGTTGTTGGTAGATAAAATAAGTCAGAAATCACCAATGTGCTGCAGCTAGTGGTTATTAATTAAGAGGGTTCAGTGTGAGATTTGGTATAGGTGTCATTTGTTGGTAATGAGTAAGCAATATGCGCAGAATTGGAGGTAATTGTTGGATGTCCTTTGTCATTTGAGGTGAAATCATGATAGGTTACATCTATCAGATTTTATTTCTTGTGGTTTGTTCACGGTCCTTGTGAGCTCTTACTTTGATTTTACTTTGTTAATTGTTATATGATTTTTGCTTTGCCAATTGTCATGATTGCCGTATGTTATACCCCATCTTGTAAATTATGCATTTACCTAACTAATGGTCGCCACAATTTTTTGTTCTGTGCGTGTTATCTGTAGGAAAATTTTTGTTAGTAGTATTTGCTATATTTAAATCATGCCACTGAAAGATTTTGCAGCAAGGGCTGGCCCAGTATTCAACTGAGGAGCTTTCTTCAAGAGTTTAATTTGTTATTGAGCCTTATTTAGTACCTTTGGATATTAAACAAAGCTGTTGAGCCTTTGGAAATTTTACAAATGGTGAGCACATTTGTATCACAGGTTTTGGGCAGAATGCACATTTTCTTATTCTGCTAAAATAACCCACTGATTATATGACCCAGTGAAATGATCTATTCTGCCAGGCCAGACAAAATGTTAAAACTCTATTATATGCTATTTTCTGTTGCAGCATGCTGCATCATGGGCTCGTGTGATCATGTATTCATGTCCAAGTGCCTATCCTTTTGCACTATGGCACTACCTCCTCCAATCACTGCCATTGCCTAGGAAAGACACATAATGCATATTATTTTTCTACTTTATGCATGTAAACATTAAGGCCAATACTGACACTTTGGGAGAACCAGATCGATGCATTGCATTAGAAACGATTGTTTATTATTCACATTGCTATTCATACTGCAGATAAAGCAGAGAGGTTGATAGAGGAGGCTGCTGGGTATGGTTCACAGTTGGTTGTGTTCCCAGAAGCTTTTGTTGGCGGCTATCCTCGTGGATCCACATTTGGCTTTGGGGCCAACATAAGCATTGGTAATCCAAAAGACAAGGGGAAGGAAGAATTCCGGAAGTATCATGCGGCGGCAATAGAAGTGCCTGGTAAGTGGTAATGTAATGGAATATATCAATTCACTTAAAATCCCGGGCCACCCATGGGGAACGGGCTAGGATTGATCCCTGCCAAACAAAGTGTTCTTTGCTATTGACTTATCCGTTCATGCCCTTTTATCATCAAAAAGAAATATATATATATATATATATATATATATATATATATGTGTGTGTTGATTGTTTAAATTGCATATTTCTGTCAACACTGTGTTTGCTGAATACTCTATCCATACAAAAAAGTAAGGCATATTTCTTTTGTCACCAAGACCAAGGAGGAATTCACTCATCCCCCATGTAACAAAACCAAGGAACTATATGCATACATGCAACCTATAAGTATTAAGATGGCTATTCGGATTCTGGTCAACAATTAATTTAGCATATGGAGACTACAAATATGACCATCTCTTTTGGAAAAACCAAAAAAATAGTATATGCCTAACACTTTTGGATGGAGGGAGTACTAGAAATATCCATCTCATATTAGACTCTGGAGAACTTTTTAGGGGAAAGAAGTCATAGATGTTACCAAAGATCTATCCAATTACTTAATCTGATGTAAAAAAAAAAAAGACCATAGCTTTGGTAATTGTTCAAGTAAGGCATAGGATTTCCCCAAAATGGAGAAACATCTACAATGGATTATTGATACTCATACTTGCCTCGACTGCTTCAGCTAGATGTTATGATCATGCTTTCTGGTTCCAGGCATGGATTGATTGTTGTCAAATCAATAACCCCATATCCTGTGCTGTTTTGTATGCTTTTTATTGTGTTTTATCATAAGAAAACAGATTTTGTGTTTTATCATAAAAATTCAGCTTTCTAGCTGTTTCATCACTGTGGACATACATTTTGTTTCTTCTAGATTGATATATCCATCTTCTGACTTACAGGCCCAGAGGTGACACGCTTGGCTGCTATGGCTGGAAAATATAAAGTATTTTTAGTGATGGGAGTGATTGAAAGGGAAGGTTACACTCTGTATTGCTCGGTGCTCTTCTTTGATCCTCTAGGACGGTACCTAGGTAAGCACCGAAAGCTCATGCCAACAGCATTAGAACGAATAATATGGGGATTTGGAGATGGATCAACAATTCCTGTTTATGATACTCCACTTGGAAAGATCGGAGCCCTAATTTGCTGGGAAAATAAAATGCCACTGTTGCGGACAGCACTTTATGGTAAAGGTAAGACTATTTCTTGGAATATTGTTACTACAATACCACTAGAAGTCTTCATAGTTCATACAGCTTATGAGGAAGTGACATGGTTTCATGAGATGATATTCCTGAAATAACAAAATGAATTTGGTTTCAGAATAAGTCAGATAGGCAAATGTGAAAAAAAATAAAAACGCTGGTGTGGCAGTGGCACTTGAATTTCTTCATCATCTACTCATATATTGTATGCACTACACAGGTATTGAGATATATTGTGCTCCAACTGCTGATTCCAGACAAGTTTGGCAAGCCTCCATGACTCATATTGCCTTAGAGGGGGGATGCTTTGTCCTGTCAGCAAATCAATTCTGCCGTAGAAAGGACTATCCTCCACCACCGGAGTATGTATTTTCTGGTTTAGGTGAAGAGCCTTCTCCAGACACTGTTGTCTGCCCTGGAGGTAGCGTCATCATTTCACCATCCGGAGAAGTCTTGGCAGGTCCCAACTACGAAGGGGAGGCGCTGATTACAGCTGATCTAGGTGAGAAAATAATTGCATATGTACTAGGTTTTTCGTACATGCATTTGCCCCAATTTTGTTTATGTGCTCCCTCAGTTTTCTGGCACCAAATTTTGAATAGTTGTGATTAGACAATTCATATTAAAATTTGTAATGAAATTCATTCGCAGACCTTGGAGAAATCGTGCGAGCCAAGTTTGATTTTGATGTGGTGGGCCACTATGCTCGACCTGAGGTCTTGAGCTTGGTAGTGAATGACCAGCCGCACCTCCCTGTGTCTTTCACTTCTGCCGCTGAGAAGACGACAGCCGCAAAAAGTGACAGCACTGCAAAGCCCTACTAAGCAAGATAATCAGAGTCAATCGCAAAACTGATTACTGTCACTAGACGGTGAATCATTGGCTCCGATCGTTCATGCTTGACGTCCCTGTCATCCCCTTGCTTGTAAATTGCAGTCCAGAACAAACTTCTGAGGTCTGTAGAACTTGCCCCTTTTATGCTGTGTATCTATCAAGGTAGGTGTCAGATCAAACTTGGTTCCCCTCCATATCAAATATGAGTAGTGCATGAACTGGCACTACGATGGTTTCACTGTCACACATGTGGTTATTTTACGTTCTACTCCCTTGGTGCCATATTACAGATTATTTTAGTTTTATCATAAGTTAAACTTCTCTAACTTTGGCTGAGGATATAGAAAATTGCTACAATAATACATAAATGCACTATCAAGATATATTTCATGGTGGATTTAATGAAACTAATTTGATGTTGTAGATGATGATTCTTTTATAAACTTGGTCACTTAGGATAAAACTAAAATGACTTATGGAACAAAGGGAATACTCCAAAAGAAAAGGCACGAGTTCAGAGGAAGCATTCTGCTTTGCCAAATGTTGCTTTGGCTTTTTGGTAACGATATCGGAAACCTCAATGCCTGCGACCAGTTTGATTAGAAGCTAGATTTAGAGCAGGTATAATAGCAGGCTATAAGCTAGCTATAAACATATTTTAAGAAGATAAAGGAAGAGAGAAGAGCAGCTGGCTACAGATATGTAGCCAGCTACAGCACGGACTCCAATACGTAATGTGTGTATGACAGGTGTGACCAGATATTAATAGTACAGTAAGTAGCTATTATATGAATTGGCTATTACATTGGCTATAGATGATTTGGAGCTAGTAGGGCTATACTATTAAACTTGCTCTTAGTCTGCATAACTGCACTGCAATGCATGTACTGTACTCCCTCCGTCAAAAAAAAAAGCAAACCTTGGGTTTCCGTGCTAAAGTTTGACTGTCCATTTTATATGAATTTTTTTTATAATTAGTATTTTCATTGTTGTTAGATGATAAAACATGATTAATACTTTATGCGTAACTTATCTTTCTAATTTTTTTCATAATTTTTTCAAACAAGATGGACGGTCAAACGTTGGACACGGAAACCAGAGTTTGTCTTTTTCTGGGACGGAGGGAGTAATTCTTAAAACTGATTGAGGTATATGAGTATATGACCCAGAATGCCTGGGTAAGGATTAACACATGAGCCTGAAGTTTCTTTTTTCTTTTTTTTTCTGTTTTTAGATATTCATCCTGTAATAATAACTGAACGTGATAGGTGATCTGCTGCAGCGTGTTTGATAATCATGTTTGATTTTAAAATCTCAATGACAATAAAGAAGGGATGCAGCGGACGAGCCGTAGAGAAGTACACGTAGAGAACAAAGTCGCTGACGTTTTAGCGCAACTTCTATAAAGTAAAAAAATAGACTTAAACGATAATTATGTTCGATTTTTAAAATAGCAATGACAATAAAGAGAAGATGCAGTGGACGGTCATGGAGGAGTATAATGAAGAAGCCCAGTTTTTAAAGGTTCCAAAAAGAATGAATAGAAATAGTAGTAGATCGAGCAAGTAAATAAAGAATAATATGACAGAAGTAAATGGTATCAACTAGTGTGACTTTTAAAAACTACAAATTTAGAAACACGAGGATGGTAAGGTTTGGTCTTTTAAAATCTTAATAACGAGATAACTATTTAATAAATTTGAAGCAAAATCATATTAAAAATATATAATTTTATATGGGTGCGCCGCGCGATTGTGCGGGCCAACTAGTTCAACTAATTGAACCGCTAATCGTGCTGAGATCAGACAGGCAGCGCATGCAAATTCTGAAAGGGATACATCAATTTGTAGCTAGGCAAAGTTGACTAAGACCCTATTTAGATACTATCTCCGTTTCAGATTACAAGACTTTCGCATTGCCTAGTAGTGAAAAAACTAAAGTTTTTCGCCACTAGATTGCGCCACGTCATCGGAAAAACATAGGACGTCCGATTGCCCCTACAGATGATGTGAGCTGTTGGATTCATTGATTGGCAAAATCTATTCTAGATCCTTCGTAAAAATTATTTCGCAATAAGATCCTTCCACCTCCCTAGTCTTACCATTTTTCATTTTCACCCCTGCTACCTGTTGCGAGTTGCGACACCGTCTCGGGACCGGAGGCCGCCTCCCCTTCCCTGGTCGCTGCGCCGCGCCACTCCCGGGAGGCGGAGGCGCCGGATCGTGTGCTCCGCGTTTCCGCTCGCTTCCTCCACTCCCATCTCCAAAGCCGCTATGTCTCCTCTCAATCTCCACCACAATCAATGGGGACCGGAGAGGTAAGAAGAAGAGCCACCGGCATCGAGAAGGACGAGGATAGGTGCAAGGGGACAGGCCGGTCGAAGACGCCTGCGGTGGGAAGCAAAGGAATCCATACCTCCCCTTTCTCCCCTTCCACCTCCCCCTGCCCTAGCCACACCCCATCCTATTCCTCCTCATTCCCATCCCCAACACTACTGCGGCATCACCTCCTCCTACCTGTTCTGGATCCGGCGATGGTGGGGCTGATTCGGATTTGGGAGGTATGGCTCGACCTGACGGCGATGCACGCGGAATTTCACTTGTGGGTCACTGCCGCCTTATCTTCTGCATCTCCACCTGAGTGCCTCTGGTTCCCCAGGACCTACTCTGCAGCGCCACTTCTCATCCTCCTCCAATAACGATGGCCAAGGGAAATACAAAAAGTCCCAACATCGACAGCTGTGGTAAGTATCTAAACTTCTTGCTCCTCACGGTGTTCATGTTGGTAAAGCATGTACGATGTATAGGAACCACGGCTTCACCTAGTGCTAACAAGTTGATTTAGACTAAAAAGGTGATAAATAAGTTCTATAATGGAGTCCTTAATTAAGCCTCTCATGTAATTTCAGTTTTTGGGTGGGCAAATTTCATTTAAGAGCACTGTAAAAAGAATGCATCCTATCAAAATGTAAGTTCATGTTCATTAATTATAAATAGTTACATACAATTATTTCAATAGTTATCAAAGATATGTGTGATAATAACAAATGAATTTATAAGTGGATTGAAATAGTATTTTCCTCCGTATGCCCAACGTCCAACTCACTGAAGCAATTCGATGGCAGTGGTTCACCGGGATATAACTAATACTAATAATTTCCCAAAAAAAAAAGTAAGGAGTAGTACTAGCTATTCACGCATTTAGAAAAAAGAAAGGGTTGCTCCTAACATTATATAAATGACTGGTGTATTGCTATATTTGTGTATCTATATATGTGTGTCTAACGAGCAAAGCTGCAGCAAGCAGGGGAGTGGAAACCTATAAAAGATAATTCTACAATGTGATTTGCTTAAGCTTAAATGAAATTTGACTATTAAAGATCAAATGTATTTGACTCTAAGTACCCATTTAGCTTCCGGTTTGCTGTGAAGGGTGTATTCACTGATTAAGAATGAATTTTGATAATTTATGAAGCAAATAATAAAGCAATCAAATATTGTATTATCAGGTATTTCTTTTTCTTGATGTTATGAGTTTTAAAGCAGGAATTGAAATGACTGTAATATTGATTTGCGTTATTGGTCTTTACCTGAAGTGACAATTATGAAATAAACGTCCTTTCAAAATTTGTGGTTTCATTTTTTATTCAACTTGCTACCATGCATCTAAGGTATGAATCATGAACATTAGTACTTCTTGAATGGTAAAAACTGGATACGAGTTGTTGAGGAATAATATTGTTTGATAGAACAAGAAATTTATTGTTGTTGACTGTGTCATCAAATCAAGTCCTTTTTATTTTCTTCGCACGAATTCTATTAAGAAAGCATTTCAATTGTACCTCCAAAGATATTTTTCAAAATTTCTAGAAACCACCCAAACTTTTGTGCATATACCCATTTAATCAAATTGGAATGTTGTATATACCCATTTAACCAAATTGGAATGTATCTACTCAACCTTTTGTTTTTTAGCTATGATTCCACTGGTTTAGCAGATGACATCTGAACATATGTCCCCAAATAAATGGTATTGGGATCATCTTTTTCACAGGTTAGATACTAACCATTTCATACAGAGTGTTTTGGCTTCACTTCCCCCCAAATATATACTTTGAATCCTATGATAAAAACACCCCCAAATGATGGTACAGACGCAACAGGTGCAATTATCTCCCCAAAGGTAAAACCGTAAAAGTATCTCCTCTGTTAAACAAGGAAGCTGGCACCATCCAAACCAGGTAATATTTTTCTCGGTACTAAAATGTACAAATAATCTCAGAACTTTAGAGACACTGATTCTAACTTTCTGAGATGTGTTCAACCATGTGGATTGCTTATCAACTTCAAACTTATAATGCTTAGTACAGTATCATACTATGTAACAACCTGGAAGTGAAATTCTACCTACATTTAGGTTGCGTCCTGTGCAAGCATGATAATTATTATTATTAGTCAACTTTAGAAAGCACCTACTTTAAATTTAATATTTTGTTGGCCCAATGGTCTAATGGTGCCATTATAAGTTTCATGATAAACTAATGGTTGATTTTACGTAGATTCAGGATTTAACTACTCCCTCCGTTTCAGGTTATAAGACTTTCTAGTATTGCCCACATTCATATATATGTTAGTGAATCTAGACATATATATGAATGTGGGCAATGCTAGAAAGTTTAATAATATGAAACGGAGGAAGTAATTGTTTGTCCAGTCCCTTTCAAAGTCATAAATTAAATTATTTTGTATTTTATGAGAAAATATTGTGGAATAAGCATGTAGTAGCCACTGGATGAGATGACTGAACTTTGGAAACCAAAAGATCTTCTACATGGTACTTGAACCTTACTTGCAAATATAGGTTAGTTCTAACTAACTATTTACCAAGTCCTATGTTTTTTTAAGTAAAATAAATTTAGAGTTAATCCCATTATCATATTATGGTCTATGTATAAAGGGCTTATATGTATACTGGGCTAAGTCTTTTGCCCAGCCAGCTCGCCTATAGAAACGGCGAAAGGAACCAGAAGGTTTGCTCCTATGTTGCGGTTGTGATTAATGCCAAGCCCTTTGCACCTGCCATGTTCCAGGTTGTGATTTCATAGAAACTAAAAGGTTTCCCATAAATTTTGGGATGCATGGATCATATTGTACTCTTATCCGGTTATGAGATGCAGATCTAACAATAGTGTTGTGGCAAGCATGGAACAAGATGGAGCCTGAAGCAAAATTCCCAAAACACCTGTTGAAGTCAATTTCAGGGCCATTTTTTTATGCGAACTTGGAGCAGGCTTCTAAAGATGCGAGACATGAAAATACAGGAAACGTTGGATACCCTGATTGAGGGAAAGGATAATTTCATGATATTTTTATATGTCTAATAAAAACATGGTTCATCATATGATATATTACGACCCATAAATATAGAGCTTTTTTACAGGTATCTAAAGTCATGCAACACACGACCAAATGGCTAGTATCTATATGAATGTGGGCAATGCTAGAAAGTCTTATAACCTGAAAAGATAGTAGCTTTTAGCAACAAATTCTAAAAGGGGTGCACCTAGCCGGAAAAAGTTGACTAAGGTCCTATTTGAAAAACTTTTAGCAGCAAAAACTGCAGTGGTACAGATTCTGACCTAAATTCTAAGAATATAAAGCTATAGAATCAAAAAAAGAAGAAGCTAGAAGGTGAAAAAACTAAAATTTTCATAAGGTACCTACCAACCATCTACTCCATCCATTTCATATTATAAATCGTTTGATTTTTTTTCTAGTTAAGTTTGACTAAATTCATAAAAAAAAATTAGCGCTATCTAAAATATTAAATTAATTCCATTAAATCTAACATCAAATATATTTTAATAATATTTTTTATTAAAAATACTAATGTACTTTTCTATAAATTTGGTCAAACTTTAAGAAGTTTGATTAGAAAAATATCAAGTGATTTATAATATGAAACGGAGATAGTATTTCTTATAAGCTCAGGACCACCTGGAGTGTTGCTGTTCAGAGATCTGTGCATCGTGACGACCTCGCTGGAAGTCTCGCGGGACAGTGATTTGTGCTGTGCATCTATTGTGCATCCGCAAGCCTTCTTGTATGGTTGTGTGCCTGACCGCCTGCTAGCACTCTCTCCATGATCTTTGCATGGGAGTATATAATTTTCAGTCAGCTTACAGCTCGTGTATTGCAACAAAAATCAAATTAAGTTTCTAGTGTATTAAATCAATTAATAAGCACTTATTTAGTCCAAGTAATACTATAATTTTTTTTATTGAATAAGTAGGCGATTTTGAAATTTGGAAAGCAAACATTGAAATACGGAATGATTTTTTTTAAAAGGTGGTGTAATAGTGAGAATTTGTGGCCTATAGATATCAGTGATAAGAGTGGTGTGAAAATAGATACCATTACTACTGACTTTCTAAGTCCCCGTTTAAATCCCACCTTAAAATTTTTCACCCGGTCACATCGAACGTTTGAACACCAGCATGAAGTATTAAATATAGGCTAAAAAATAACTAATTGCACAGATTGCGACTAATTTGTGAGATGAATCTTTTAAGACTAATTGCTTCATGATTTGACAATATGGTGATATAGTAAATATTGCAAAACGACAAATTAATTAGGTTTAATAAATTCATCTCACAGTTTACAGATGGATTCTATAATTTGTTTTGTTATTAGACTACGTTTAATACTTTAAATGTGTATCTGTATATTTGATATTACGCGCTAAAATTTTATACCTGACCTAAACATGCCAAAGTACTAGTACAGACATTTTCTGCTTGATAGAAACACAGCGACTGGACAATGAAGCTTCAAGTTGAACGATTCTAACGCGCGTGTCGTATGTGGAGTCAACTGCAGTGGCCGTATAGCACGCCGTGGGCATTCGGGCAAGTCCATTCAACCTGCTGTCAACCGTGTACTCCCTCCGTCCCAAAAACAAAAAAAAAAAAAAAAAGACAAACCCTAGTTTCCGTGTCCAATATTTAACCGTCCGTCTTATTTAAAAAAATTATGAAAAGAATTAAAAAGACAAGTCACGCATAAAATATTAATCATGTTTTATCATCTAGCAACAATGAAAATACGAATTATAAAAAAAATTTATATAAGACGGACAGTTAAAGTTGGACACGGAAACCCAATGTTTGCCTTCTTTTTTTTTTTTAAGTACGGAGGGAATAGGGAAGGGTTGGCCGTTAGGTGTCGGTAGACATTGACCGACGACGACTCCGGACGTGACGATACGTCGCTACCAGAATAAAATTCTCCATCCTATCCGACCAAACATATGTAAGGCCGATCCTGCCTCAAAATTTTTCACCTATTCACATCGAACGTTTGAACACCTACATAAAATATTAAATATAGGCTAAAAAATAATTAATTACACAGATTGCAACTAATTTGCGAGACAAATCTTTTAAGCCTAAGTGATCAATAATTTGACAATATAATGCTATAATAAACATTTGCTAATAACTGATTAATTAGGCTTAATAAATTTATTGGTGATATGGGCCCGGGAGTCCCTAGTCTAGGGGGGAAGAAAGCCCTTCCCGTGTGACGCGTACGGCGGGCCCAGTCCCCCTCGGGGGGTCACGCCCTCACATGGAAAGTGGCTGCCTCCCTCCCCGAGGCTCGGGGTACCTCGTCGTACCCCTCGGGCTCGAGGGGTTGAACCACCCCCGAGGCCCTCGCTCGGCCACCACTTGGTGGCCAAGCGGGAGCCGTCAGCGGGCGTGAGCACTGTCTGCCAGGCGCATTTATGAGTGGCGCAGCAACTGCTCCCGTCGCATTTAATGCGACATGGCACGGTGCGCCGTAGACCGATTGACGTGCGCCTGGCAACCGCCTTTTGACTAGTCTGTGACCCGGCGATGAATGGATGGGATGGGCGGTAGTGCGCCCACGTCTCGATTCGTGTCAGGCAGCGTAGGGGCAGGTATGCCTTGTCCCATCATGTGTAATGGGAGGTCCTGCAGGTCGTTCCGCCCAATGCGCGTGTGCCCACGAAGTCACCAAACATTTAATAGGGAATGATGGGGGATGTCCCCCGTGTCAGCCGAAAAGTTTCGGTGGGGGCCACCCAAGGTTAGCCGCGCAGATCGCTTCCAGCCCAAGGCACAAGACGCATTTTAATATAGGCAATGTGGGCCCCTCTCCCGCAGGGAGAGAGCAGGGGTGGTGCATGTGGTATCCCCTTCATCTATAAAAGGAGAACCCTGCCCTACGACTAAAGGGGACGTCTCTTAGAAAATCAGACTCTGGGAAGAGGTTGGCCAAGCCCTAGCTTGTACTCCCAGGATCTGAAGTCTTTGTAACCACACGAAGATCATCACACAGACAGGAGTAGGGTATTATGCTCGATAGCGGTCCGAACCTGTATAATCCCTCTCTCTCACTCTCTCACCTTCCATTTCATGAGCCTGATTCTCGTGGATCCACCTCGCTCGCGTGAAAGCACGCTCCTCAGTATTGCACCCGCTCCCCCGGCCGAACTCACAAAGGGGGGCCTCACAGCCTCCCGCTAGAAAGGATCACCCTCCGACAAAATTCGTCTCGCGGTTTACTCACGAATTCTGTAAATAGTTTTTTTATTAGTGTCCGAACACCCTATTCGACACCCTATAAAATATCTGATGTGACAAACCAAAACTTTACACCCCTTGAATCTAAATGCCCCCTAAAACTAGATTACACGGCTAGTTCTTATATGATAGCGCATATAATTTTATATATCTTTATTAAAATATATTAAAAATTATTAAAAAAATTAATTTTGTACTAACTTGAACAAACTAACTGATGTGTAATGTTTATATTGTATTGAATATACATGGTATTTATTAATTATTTTAAAATTTTAAATATTAGTCAATTCTAAATTGTATTCCTATATAGGCTCTAAACTCATCTTATAATATTTTTATTTTTAAATTTTGAAGTCATGTTACTTACAAATGTTATTCTAACTAGAAAAATAATACCAGTGCGTTGCAATAGGTGAAGGTTATTTTAATCTTATTATTGTTATATGGTTTAGTTAAGACGAAATTTACTGCGGGAATTCGCTTGGATATATATTTTTAGAAAATCATGAGGTACAGTTAAGAGTATGTTCGCCTCAAATTATCATGTGAGTTTTTTTTAAAGAGATTTCTTATACAGCTCCTTCTGTATTTCCAAAACCAACTCAAATTCAGATATGTATTTACAAAAGCGAACGAACTTAAAAACTGACTCATACACGGATGACGTATCAAAGTATCGACAAAAACATCTTCAATTTTTATAATAGTAGAGATATGGATTCTAAACCCTTCTTTCAATATTCCTTATTTTAATATCTTAAATTTTAGTTATTTCTAAATTGTATTTATGTATAAACTCTAGACTCCTCTTCCAATATTCCTTATTTTTTAATTCCGAATTTATCTTATTTATAAATTATATTTTTATTACATGGACTCTAAACTCATCTATCAATATTCCTTATTTTCTAATTTTGAATTTCAGTAATTTCCAAATTGTGTTCATATATGGACTATAGACCCTTTTTCTAATATTTCTTATTTTTAAATTTCCAAATTGTGTTCATATATTTCCAAGTTCGAATTTTAGCTTCTTATAAGTTGTATTTCTATTGGACTCTAGATTCTTTTTCTAATATTTATTATTCTTAAATTTTGAATTTTAGTTTTTTCTAAGTTATATTTCTATATGGACTCTAAATTCTACTTTTAATTTTCTTCTTTTCAAATTCCGAATTTCATTTCTTCTTTTCAAATTCCGAATTTCAGTTAGATCTAAGTTGTATATGTATTTCTATATGGACTCTAAACTTATATTTCAATATTTCTTATTTTTAATTTTGAATTTCAGTTATTACTAAATTGTATTCATATATAGACTCTATATTGCTTTTTTCAATATTCCTTAGTTATTTCTAAGTTCCATTTCTACATGGTCTCTAACCACTTCTTTTAATTTTCTTTTTTATTCGAAGTTTTAATTAACTCTAAATTGTATTCCTATATGGACTCTAGTCTCCTCTTCCAATATTTCATATTTGCTAATTCCGAATTTAAATTATTTTTAAATTTTATTTCTATATGGACTCTATTTTTTTTATTTCCAATTAATGTGAGAATTTATAGGCCGTGAGAGCAAATTATTTTTAATTCCGAATTTCTATTATTTATAAATTGTATTTTTATTATATGGAATCTAAACTCATATTTCAATACATCTTATTTTTTAATTACGAATTTCAGTAATTTCCAAATTGTGTTCATATATGGACTATAGACTCTTTTTCTAATATTTCTTATTTTTTAAGTTTCGAATTTTAGCTTCTTCTAAGTTGTATTTCTATATGGACTCTAGATTCTTTTTCTAATATTTCTTATTTTTAAATTT